CAGAGTTCAGATATAGATAAAAATATGAAAATGTGTATTTGGACCATTTAGTCATCATTTATTGAGGGATTGAAACACAAATGGTCATTATTATGACTATGGGTGTAAAACATGTAATTATACCCCCAAAAACGAAGTTTGGGGGAGTATATAGGAGTCACCCAGTGGTCGGTTGGTTGGGCGGTCGGTCGGTCCAGACGTCCGTTGCATTTTCCTTGTCCGGAGCATAACTTGAAAACTAATGGTTGGAATTCAATATAACTACATACAATGGTCAAGCACATTGAGAGGAAGTGCAGTGCACAAGAACCATAACTCTATCTTGACTAATTACAGAGTTATTGCCCTTTGTTACTTTTCCTTGTCCGGGGCATAACTTGAAAACTACTGGTTGGAATTCAAAACAACTTCATACAATTGTCAAACACAATAAGGGGAAGTGCAGTGCACAAGAACCATAACTCTATCTAAAGTAATTACAGAGTTATTGCCCTTTGTTGCTTTTCCATTGCTTTTTTTTTTGTCTGTTGCATTTTCCTTGTCCGGAGCATAACTTGAAGACTAATGGTTGGAATTCAATATAACTACATACAATGGTCAAGCACATTGAGAGGAAGTGCAGTGCACAAGAACCATAACTCTATCTTGACTAATTACAGAGTTATTGCCCTTTGTTACTTTTCCTTGTCCGTGGCATAACTTGAAAACTACTGGTTGGAATTCAAAACAACTTCATACAATTGTCAAACACAATAAGGGGAAGTGCAGTGCACAAGAACCATAACTCTATCTAAAGTAATTACAGAGTTATTGCCCTTTGTTGCTTTTCCATTGCTTTTTTTTTTGTCTGTTGCATTTTCCTTGTCCGGAGCATAACTTGAAGACTAATGGTTGGAATTCAATATAACTACATACAATGGTCAAGCACATTGAGAGGAAGTGCAGTGCGTAAGAAACATAACTCTATCTTGACTAATTACAGAGTTATTGCCCTTTGTTACTTTTCCTTGTCCGTGGCATAACTTGAAAACTACTGGTTGGAATTCAAAACAACTTCATACAATTGTCAAACACAATAAGGGGAAGTGCAGTGCACAAGAACCATAACTCTATCTAAAGTAATTACAGAGTTATTGCCCTTTGTTGCTTTTCCATTGCTTTTTTTTTGTCTGTTGCATTTTCCTTGTCTGGAGCATAACTTGAAGACTAATGGTTGGAATTCAATATAACTACATACAATGGTCAAGCACATTGAGAGGAAGTGCAGTGCACAAGAACCATAGCTCTATCTTGACTAATTACAGAGTTATTGCCCTTTGTTACTTTTCCTTGTCCGTGGCATAACTTGAAAACTACTGGTTGGAATTCAAAACAACTTCATACAATTGTCAAACACAATAAGGGGAAGTGCAGTGCACAAGAACCATAACTCTATCTAAAGTAATTACAGAGTTTATTGCCCTTTTGTTGCTTTTCCATTGCTTTTTTTTTTTTTGTCTGTTGCATTTTCCTTGTCCGGAGCATAACTTGAAGACTAATGGTTGGAATTCAATAATAACTACATACAATGGTCAAGCACATTGAGAGGAAGTGCAGTGCGTAAGAAACATAACTCTATCTTGACTAATTACAGAGTTATTGCCCTTTGTTACTTTTCCTTGTCCGTGGCATAACTTGAAAACTACTGGTTGGAATTCAAAACAACTTCATACAATTGTCAAACACAATAAGGGGAAGTGCAGTGCACAAGAACCATAACTCTATCTAAAGTAATTACAGAGTTATTGCCCTTTGTTGCTTTTCAATTGCCTTCTTTTTTTTGTCCGGAGCATAACTTGAAAACTAATGGTTGGAATTCAATATAATTACATACAATGGTCAAGCACATTGAGAGGAAGTGCAGTGCATAAGAACCATAACTCTATCTAAAGTAATTACAGAGTTATTGCCCTTTATTACTTTTCCATTGCTTTCTTTTGTCCGGACCATAACTTGAAGACTTATTGTTGGAATTCATTATAACTTCATACAATGGTCAAGCACATTGAGAGGAAGTGCAGTGCATAAAAACCATAACTCCATCTTGACTAATTACAGAGTTACTGCCCTTTGTTACTTTTCTTTGTCCAGAGCATGACTTGAAAACTACTGGTTGGAATTCAAAACAACTTCATACAATGGTTAAGCACAATAAGGGGAAGTGCAGTGCACAAGAACCATAACTCCATCTTGACTAATTACAGAGTTTTTGCTCTTTGTTACTTTTCCTTGTCCAGAGCATAACTTGAAAACTACTGTTTGGAATTCAGTACAACTTCATACAGTTGTCAAGGACATTCAAAGGAAGTGCAGTGCACAAGAGCCATAACTCCATTTTGACAGAATACAGAGTTACTGCCCTTTGATACTTTTCCTTGTCCAGAGCATAACTTAAAACGTACTGGTTGGAATTCAAAACAACTTCATACAATGGTCAAGCACAATAAGAGGAAGTGCAGTGCACAAGAACTATAACTCTCTCTTCAGTATTTATAGAGTTATTGCCCTTTGTTCTTTTTCTTTGTCTTTCTGGACTTGTTACAGAGTAATTCAATTAAACTTCATCAATGGCTAACCACATTGAAAGGAAATGCAACATACATGAACCACAATTATCTTTAATTGCCCATAACCATAACTCTATGTTTCAATTCTTTTACAAGGTATTCTGTTACTAGTAACATCCTCATTTCCGAAGCAGACTTGTGGGGGTATTAATCACATTTAGTGATAGTTCTAGTTTTGGTTAATATATACAAGGTCAAGGTCACTAAAGGTGATAAAATATAGAGATTGTGTCATAGAAATTTTGTCCAGAACATATCTCCTACACATATGGAGGAATTGTAATGAAACTCTTTAGAAATGTTCACCACTTTGAGAAGCAGTGTCATGTGCATAAACCAGGTCTGTAGTTCAAAGGTCAAGGTCACACTTGGAGGTTATTGCAAAATGCTTGTTTTGAGCAAAACATCTACATGCATAGATGGATTTCAAAATAACTTGGCACAATGACTATTGTAAAGCAGAGTATCGTGTGCTAAATTTAATTCCCTGTGACCAAGGTTAAGGTCACACATAGGGCTTAGAGTTCAGATATAAATGTGAAAATGTGTATTCAGACCATTTAGTCGTCATTTATTGAGAGATTGAAACACAAATGGTCATTATCATGACTACCATTGTGAAGCTAAGTATTGCACACATAATCCAAGTCTCTGCTACCAAAGTCAAGGTCACACAGAGAGGTCAAAGTTTGTGTACAGGGACCATTTAGTCACCATTTATCGATTGATTGTAACACAAATGACACATTAAATTTAAGTTAATATATACAAGGTCAAGGTCACAAAAGATGATGAAATATAGAGATTTTGTCAAGAGCATATCTCCTACACATACGGAGGGATTCTAATTTAACTTCATAGAAATGTTAACTGCTTTCAGAAGCATCGTCATGCACATGAACTATGTCTGTAGGTAAAAGGTCAAAGTCACACTAAGAGATCATTGAAAAATGCTTGTTTGGAGCAAAACTTCTACATGCATAGAGGGATTTCAATATAACTTGGCACAAATATTCACCATTGTGAGACAGAGTGTCATATGCTATATCAGGTCCCTGTGACCAAGGTCAAGGTTACACATAGGGATCAGAGTTATAATTGCAAGATCAAGGTCTCTAGAGTCAATAAAATTTCCAGATATTGTCTGGACATTGCCCAGAGCATATCTCCTGCATATCTACAATGCTTAAGTCTCAAAATGTTTTGGGACGGGTGTATTTTGTGACAATGTTGCCCATGTAATTTGGTAGAAACATAAAATTGAGGTCTTCTCCTTTGGATGGAGTTTGGGGTCAGTTGGCATGGAGGTTAGTCATGATTAGTAGATGACCTCTTTTGATTTTGAGGTCACAGGGTTAAAGGTCAAGGTCACTTGACTTAAGAAAGCTTGTTTGCTCAATAACTTAAGATTCCTTTGACCCACAGTCTTCATACTTTGTATTGAGATTGATTGGTCTTGATTAGTAGATAAACCCTATTGATTTTGAGGTAAAAGGTCAAGGTCACAGGCGTCTTGACTAAAAAAAAGCTTGTCCGCCCAATAACTTAATATTCCTTTTACCCACAGTCTTCATATTTGGTATTGAGATTGGTCATGATCGGTAGATGATCTCTATTGATTTTGAGTTCACCAGGTCAAAGGTCAAGGTCACAGGAGCCTTGACTTAAAAAAGCTTGTCCGCCCAATAACTTAAGATTCCTTTGACCCACAGTGTTCATATTTGGAATGGAGGTTTTTCATGATTAGTAGATGACCCATATTGATTTTGAGGTCACTGGGTCAAAGGTCCATGGCAGAAAGGCCTTGACTAAAAAACAGCTTGTCCGTCCAATATCTAAAGATTCCTTAGACCCACAGTCTTCATATTTGGCATGGAGGTTAGTCATGATTAGTAGATGACCCCTATTGATTTTGAGGTCACTGAATCAAAGGTCAAGGTCACAGGGACTTTGACTTGAAAAATTTGTATGCCCAACAACCTCCCTGAGCTTTAAATGGCCACTGTTAATTCTGACAAAGTGGTATGTGGGGGTATTCACACCATGACAGTGGCAGTTCTAGTTTATTAACAGATGTATTTCATATTTGGTAGGAAGATAATTTGCATGGTATTCTTCCTTTTCATTGAGGTAGGGATCAGTGGGTCAAGTTCACCAGTGCTTAAAATAGACTTTTACACTTTTGCCTATACAGCCTTTATTTATTAGATTGATAAGTATTTTACAAGAGTCTGAAGTATTTTGTTACCAAGACATATACATGTAAATATAATAAATTATGAGCATGTAACTGATGAGTAAGTGTGCTAGAGAATTCATAAAAAAGATATAGATTTTTTAACATACCTTAGCTAAGCTTTTATATAGCTTTTCTAATGCATCATTTGTTGTTGTTTTTGTTTTTTCAGTATGGACTTCACAATTCAGTGTGAAATACCCACTGAACTGGAAGTAAAAGACACTAATTTGAATCGTATGGATATTAAAATAGACAAGGAAGTATTCTATTTGGAGAAAACTTTTACGTTCCTGCCAAATCCAACAATTGAAGATTTTTCACCACGTAAAGGAACTGTGAGGTAAGTCATTTCTCAAATCTGTGAAAACTTTAAACATTTAATACAAACTTGAATATACTTCTTTACTTTTAAAGGCTGGTAAGACTACTAATCACTTTTGCAGAAATAAGCTCCCAATTTGTTTGCTTTTTGGTATAATAGCTTGTTTTGGTACTTAGACAAGTTCAAATATTGGTAATCCTGGATGAAAAACAAGGTCACATTGCCTAAAAAGAGAAATTTCTTTAGAGACTTATTTCAGACCAAATATCCTTGTAATTGGTAAGAAAGGTTGTTAAAATAATCTCTAGCTTAAGTTTGAATATGGGTCATGGGAGGGGGGGGGGGTGCCTAAAAACTATGTTTAACAGTTCAAATATAGAAAAACCCAATGCTCATAAATGAAAAAAAAATACCCTTGTTTACATTTGCAATATTTCATAATTATGACAGTATAATTATATAATTGTTCAGATGATTGTTTAAATTTGCATGCCTCCAGATGAGTCAATATATTTCAATAGAAATATGTACTACGATTTTAGGAAAAGTAAAATGATTCCAGATTCAAGTAATATTTTACATAATATTATAATGTGTGGTTAATGACTGATTTTTTTGTTTTTACAACTATATTTCTACTGCGTTACTAACGCAGTAAGGGCTATTTTATTATGCATATTTTGACCACTTTTTAGCTCGACTTTTTTTTTTTTGAAAAAAAAAAGTAGAGGTATTGTTATAGTCAGGTTGCCGTTGCCGTTCCCGTCTGCAAACTTGTACCTGGATCATAACTTTTTTATTTCTTGGTGTATTGTCTTCATACTTGGCCACAACAACCCTTGGGACAAGACCTTTCAGTAGACCACACTAACCTTGACCTTCATCCATAAATGACCTTGACCTTCAAGGTTAAAAGTCCAATTTTTGCTTGTTCATGCTGTTATTGGCTGTAATTTTGTTATTTTTGAATGGATTGTCTTCAAACTTGAACATAATAATCTTCAAGGATATCCCTTAAAAATAACCAGCCAGACCTTGACCTTCACTCATAAATGACCTTGACTTTGAAGGTCAAATTATTGAAATTTTCATTTTTTTGGCTATTATTGGCTGTAACTTTGTTATTTTTGAATGGATTGTCTTCAAACTTGAACATAATTATCTTCAGGGATATCCCTTAAAAATAACTAGACAGACCTTGACCTTCACTCATAAATGACCTTGACTTTGAAGGTCAAATTAGTGAAAAATTCATTTTTTTGGCTATTATTGGCTGTAACTTTGTTATTTTTGAATGGATTGTCTTGAAACTTGAACTTAACTGACTGTAACTTTGCTATTATTGAATGGATCAACTTCATATTATAACAGAACATTCTTAAGGACCAGACCTTGTTGTTTATCAAACCCAAATTTGCTTGGGCTCTTTAATGACCTTGATCTTGAAGGTTAAATTACTGAATTTTCTCAGATTTGTGCATTAAATGACCATAATTATATATTTATTAGTGTGTGTGTGTGTGTGCGTGTGTGTGTGTGTGTATATATATATATTTACAACAACAACAACAAGAATTGCGTAATGTTTCTATTTATAGAATTGCGTCATTGTTTCTTTTTATAGAATTGCGTCATTGTTTCTATTTATAGAAATTGTGTCATTGTTGCTATTTTTAGAAATTGCGTCATTGTTTCTATTTGTAGAAATTGCATCATTGTTTCTATTTGTAGAAATTGCGTCATTGTTGCTATTTTTAGAAATTGCGTCATTGTTTCTATTTTTAGAAATTGCGTCATTGTTTCTATTTATAGAAATTGCGTCATTGTTGTTATTTTTAGAAATTGCGTCATTGTTTCTATTTTTAGAAATTGCGTCATTGTTTCTATTTTTAGAAATTGCGTCATTGTTTCTATTTTTAGAAATTGCGTCATTGTTTCTATTTATAGAAATTGCGTCATTGTTTCTATTTTTAGAAATTGCGTCATTGTTTCTATTTATAGACATTGCGTCATTGTTTCTATTTTTAGCTCGACTATACGAAGTATATGGAGAGCTGTCCTACTCGCCCCGGCGTCGGCGTCCGCGTCCAGATTTTAGATTAAAGTTTTGGTGCAGTAAAATATTTTTCTCTATAACTTTGTCATTTCTTAAGGTATCAACTTCAAACTTCAAATATATGTTCCTTATCATCAACCACATTTTATGTGACAAGGTTCATAACTCTAGCACCAATATTTTCAGATTTATCTCCCCTTGAACTTAGAATTTTTCTAAAAAAATACTATTTCTTTCTGTTTCTTCTTTATTTCTTAAGGGATCAACCTCATACTTCAAATATATTTACGTTATCATCATCCCCATCTTATGTGACAAGGTTCATAACTCTAGCACCAATATTTTTAGATTTATCTCCCTTTGAACTTAGAATTTTCCATAAAAAATATTATTTTTTACTGTTACTTATTTATTTCTAAAGGGATCAACTTCATACTTCAAATATATTTACGTTATCATCATCCACATCTTATGTGACAAGGTTCATAACTCTAGCACCAATATTGCAAGAATTATCTCTCCATAAACTTAGATTTTTTTACTAGAAAAATGTTATTTTTTATTATAACTTTTTTATTTTTAAAGGTATCTACCTCAAACTTCAAATACCTATTCCTTATCATCAATTACATTTTATGTGACAATGTTCATAACTCTTGAAGCAATATTTACAGATTTATCTGTCTTTGAACTTAGGATTTTCTTTAAGAAATATAATAACTTCTTTACTTTTTAAGGTCACCTACTTCAAACTTCAAATATATATTTCTTATCATTACACAAATGTTGTGTGACAAGGTCCATAACTCTAGCATGTCTATTTCTAGAATTATTCCCCTTGATCTTGGAATTAATGTTAACAAATGTTATTTTTTTTCTATAACTTAATACATAATTATACATTATGGATTTTTCTTTCATAGTTTTGTCCTCCTTACTGCGTCCAGTATTTTATTAGTCGAGCTTCGCTGTCTCCTGTGACAGCTCTTGTTAGAAATTGCGTCATTGTTTCTATTTATAGAAATTGCGTCATTGTTGCTATTTATAGAAATTGCGTCATTGTTTCTATTTATAGAAATTGCGTCATTGTTTCTATTTTTAGAAATTGCGTCATTGTTTCTATTTTTAGAAATTGCGTCATTGTTGCTATTTATAGAAATTGTGTCATTGTTTCTATTTATAGAAATTGCGTCATTGTTGCTATTTATAGAAATTGCGTCATTGTTTCTATTTATAGAAAATGCGTCATTGTTGCTATTTTTAGAAATTGCGTCTTGTTGCTATTTTTAGAAATTGCGTAATGTTGCTTTTTTTAGAAATTGTGTAATGTTTCTATTCATATATATATACAAAATATATAAACAAAACTAATTTGACAAGAGAGAACAACTAAATTTATAAAAAGGAAACGTTAAGATATGTTCAAACCTTTCTATGTTTGCGTTTAGAAAAAGTAAAGTCGAGCATTGCCCCCGCCCGTCAGTGGCTCTTGTTGGTCATTTACATGGCTTGTAAGTGCCATTGATAATGTGTAAATTGCTGCCTTTTGGTTATTTCACAATACTATACATTCAAATATATTTTCAAAATTTTCATGTAAATTAGCATGAATCTAGAGGCATGCTGCTTTAAGGTTAAGACATTTTATCTGCTTTTCGTGTATATTTTGTGTTTGATCCATAACTTTCCCAATCATGAAGGGATTTTGAAATTACTTTGAACATAATTATGTTCACAACGATGGGAGGAAGTTTTATGAGCAACACCAGTACCATTACTGTCAAGGTCACACTTGAAGATAAAAGATTAACATGGTCTAATATATTTTTTTCTGTTCAAAGAATTTTGAAATTTCTTGTCTCAAATGTTACAATAATGGGACAATGTGTCATGTGCAACATCTGGAAATAGTGATGTCAACTATACAAATGTGTTTCCATTTACACATACACAGGAGTAATTCCATTCAATGAATTTATTGTTATACAAATCTAGCATTGATCAAGATATTGCACTGAAAGTCCAGATCCATGCCTCAATCTTTTGAATAGCACAATTCTTTGCTTCATGTGAAACTTCCTTTAGGCGAGGGATGTTGGTACACAAATTCTTGTTTATTTTCGTTTGATTGTGTTAGAAGCTATAACCATATTGAACCACTCTAGAATCTACTCAACTAGTACAGTAGAGCCTTACTAATCCGAACCCTTCTAATCCGGAATCCTTTGTAATCCGAACGAAGTGTCCGGTCCCGATTTTATCCGTTTTATTTTTAATAGTAAAAAACCTTTCGGATCCGGAACCTGTCTACTCCGAATTCCGGACGATTTTTTCAATTTTTGTTCTTATTTTACTCTAAAATTTACCTCTTGGATCCGAACAGATTTTGCCAAATGTCACACCTTCATTCAAAATAACAAATAATCGCACATCTTGCAGGTGTAAACATACACCAAAATCATGGTCTTGATTAATGGGTGAAACATATGATCTGCGAAGGTGTGAAAATTACACTTAGCTTGCCTTGATATCTTCTATAATTGCTTAATTGATTGTTTTTCGTCAGCTTCTATAAATATTTTGATATAATGCAATAGAAATATTTTTTAATCCTTTGTATTGGATTCAATGATACGTGATTAAGTAATGAAAATTAATGTAAACTGTCAGTAAATTCGGATAGTCGCTGAATCGGATAAGAGTAAACAACAACTGACAAATGCAGGTACGAATATCTAATCATGTCTGCCTCCTGTTTAACATCGTAGGTTAACTTATCCTAGAGGACATAATATTTTTGCTTATTTATTTATTTATTTTTATTTCTTTATTTTTGAATTCAGATGTATTAAAATGAACGATAAGAAAAATAAAATAAAATATCTAAATTGCAATTTCAAATACATTCTCGTTTTCTTTCCTTAAACTATTTTGCAAATAACATGAAAAAAAAACATGTAAAAAAACCTTCTAATTCCGAAACCTTTCTAATCCGGAAACCTTTCTAATCCGAACTTTTCTTCTGGTCCGGACGAGTTCGGATTAGACAGGTTCCACTGTACTAAGCAATGAGTGTAAAGTTTTTTGCTCATACAACATGTTGATCCTTATAGATCCCACACTGTCAGCAATTCTTAAGTTACTAGTCTCTCATATTGACCCCATCTAAATGTGCCACAATGACCTTCTTATAAATTTTATAATAATGAGCTTTTTAAGCATTTGTCTCAGGTGAGTGATCTAAGACCATCATTACCCTCTTGTTTTTATTCTAGTGGTGGCACAGGAATAACCATTAGAGGAAAGAATTTGACAAATGCAAATGTTGGTAGAATTGAAACAACGTATAAGGGTGAATCTAAGGTAAGGAAATGCTAGCAAAATTTTTTTAAGTACCTGTAATTAGTAGGTATATCATTAATCTCAGTTCTAAACCGGTGATTTTTTATTCTTTATTTTACAGCCGAATAAAGGTTGTGTCCTCTAGCCCAAAATAGCTATATTTTCCCCTAAAAATATTATATTTTCCCCTATAAATACTATATTTTCCCCTGTGCACATTTTTCACTAGAACCATAAATTAAAGGCAGCTGACTAATATTTGATCAAAAGACAGAAAGCTTTCTCTATAGATAGCCTCTGATATGTACCATGCATGCTTAATTTTATTGAAATTGAAAAAAATTTACAGTGTGTGGGTAAACTCCTTTCTCCGTTGTTGGAATTTGATTTCAGGTTTTCCCCCTTTTCTGATTTATTGTGCTTTATTTTCCCCTAAAGCCACACATTGTTTTGAAAATAAAAAAAACAAAACAAAAAAACTCACTGTTCTCTAGTTGTTATTTAAGGTAAATCCAAACATTGTTTTATGATTTCTACCTGCACTTCTCAAAATATAACAAATAGTTATGATTTTCTTATAGTTGATCAAGCAATTGTTAGATAGGTAATGTGTAAATGGATAACTCAGACATTACCATAGAGATGAAGGTGAAAAAAATTTCAATATTGGTTATAGCCATATAAACATTCTAAGCCATTGTATATATTTACTTTGATACTATTGAAGAATAATTCTTTTAAACAGTGTAATGAATTGTCCTTTCAGGTAGAATACTGCAATATATCATCATCTACAGAAATGTTATGTAAAGCTCCAGAAGCTCCAAAATCTGTGAAATCGGCAATCACTAACATGATCAACTCGAGACGACGGAAAAGATCGGATTGTAGCGCTTGCATAAAGGTCATCGTGAAGGTTTACCTTGATGGCTATAGCAAAGCTTTTGATATTACGTATTATCGAGATCCATCCTTGTATAAATTTGAGGACAAAAATAATGTGCATCTCTTTGACAATGATCAACAAAAGCTCACTATAAAGGTAACAAGTTTTTATAGACCGTCAAGGTCAAATTAATGAAATTTTCTTGTTTTTTTTTTTTTTTTTGGAAAACTAGCTATAACTTTGTAATTAATGAATGGTTAGACACATCTTTTAGGTCAGAATCATTATGTATATCAAATTTACATTGACTCATGTATGACATTGACCTTGAAGGTCAAATTATTGAATTTTCACTGGTCATTGCTATAATTGACTGTAACTTTGTAATTATTGTATGGATTATCTTCATAATTGGACAAAACAACCTTTTAAACAAGACCATCTAAAAGATTGATCTGACCTTGACATTGATTTTTAAGCTTGACTTTCAAGGTCAAATTATTGAATTTTGGTTTGTCATAATTTTGTTATGTACAGATTTGCTTCATATGTGCACAAAACAATATTTGTGACCAAACAGACAAATTGAAAAATTTAGATATGATCTTGACATTTAAGTGACTTTGACGTTCAGGGTCTGATTTTTGAATTTTGATTATATTTTCTTAACTTCATTTATATATGGAAATGATTCATACTTTGACAAAACAAGAAGTGTGACTAGATAGACCGATTAAAAAATTTTCCTTCAATTTTCTTTTTAAAGATTTTTTTTAACCTTTTATTTGTTTGCTTTTATAAAAACTATAAAATGTCAAGAGCCTTATGGTGGCTCTTCCTAGGTTTACAATGTGATATGTAGACATTTTGTTTCTTATATTTTATTTGCAGGGAGCATATATAAATCTTGTTGCAAAAGAGTCAGATGTTAATATTACTATTGGACTGGAAAGCTGCTCTGTGTTTGAACTGCGGGCAGATTCTATCACATGTTTAGCACCTAAAGATCAACCTGCCTCAGGCAGAAAAAACGTCCCTCATCCCGAAGTCAATGTAAGTAATAGTTGAGCTTATGTAACATATTAAAATGACATTATGTTAATTTCATGCTATCTAGTTAAGCAGTATTATCAACAGTCTAACCTTGCTATAGTGGTAGGCTTGGGGACTGATAATATTGCTGTTATAGATAGGTGATCACTATACCCTGATTACCATAGTTATCATAAAGATTGATAAAACATGACTTGTATTTTCATGATTTACTTACTTCATATTATATGTTTCACTTCAGACGTATGATGCAATTGAATATGTGAGAATTAATCAGATAGTAGTCAAGGCCTAACATAGAGGAACACATACCTAATATCTTCATTTATTGACTTGTTTCTTTGTTATTTAGTGAGGACTGGTATCTGTCATTGACCTTTAACCTAAGATAAAGTTTAAGGGTGGTTTAGTCAAGGCCACTGATGCTAAAAATAGATTTTACTTCTTTTTGTCATAATTAGTCCATGCTGTTGGGTAACTAAAAAAAACATAGAGGAGCATAAAAGGATATTCTTTCTTATTAGCTCACATGTCACAAAGTAACATGGTGAGCTATTTTGATCGCTTTTCATCCGGCGTCTGTCCCTAAACTTTTACTTTAAATGACATCTCCTTATAAACTGCTAAGCCAATTTCATCCAAACTTCACAGGAATGTTCCTTTGGTAAAACTTAAAAAATCTTCTTGTAGAAAAAAGAAAGAGCTAGAGCTTAAATATTTAGCATGAAACATCGTCTAGTCAGTGTTTACCAAGTTTGTTCAAATAAATGCCCTGGGGTCAAAATTGGCTCCGTCTCAGGGGTCATTGATTTTCCTTATTTGTGTGTAGTAAAAACTTAAAAAATCTTCTTTTAAAAAAACTGAAAAAGTTAGAGCTTAGATATATAGCATGAAAGGTCTTCTAGTGGGTGTCTACAAAGTTTGTTCAAATAAAAGCCCTGGGGTAAAAATTGGCCACGCCCAAGGGGTTACTGTTTTTCCCTTTATGTATTTAGTAAAAACTTAAAAAATCTTCTTTTAAAAACCCAAAGAGCTAGAGCTAAGATATATTGCATGAAATATCTTCTAATGGGTGTCTACCAAGTTTGTTCAAATAAGGGCCCTTGGGTTAAAATTGGCCCCGCCCCTGGGGTTCATTGATTTTCCTTATATGTGTATTGTAAAAACTTAAAAAATCTTCTTTCAAAAAACCCAAAGAGCTAGAGTTCAGATACTAAGTATGAAATTTCTTCTAATGAGAGTCTACTAAGTTTGAACAAATAAAAGCCCTGGGGTCAAAATTTGCCCCGCCCATGGGGGGTGGTCATTGTTTTTCCCTATATGTGAATAGTAAAAACTTAAGAAATCTACTTAAAAAAACCCCAAAGAGATAGAGCTTAGATATTTATCAGGAAACATCTTCTTATGGGTGTCTACAGAGTTTGTTCAAATAAAAGCCCTTGGGTTAAAATTGGCCCCACCCTGGGGGCCCACATATAGGTGAGCGATTTCAGGGTCATCATGGCCCTCTTGTTGTTTTTTTTGAGGTTGGTTTTTCTCTATATGAGCTCCATTTAGATGCTGATCTTAAAACTATTTATTGTTTTCCTAGGTGACGATTGGAAATTACTTTGAGAATGTTGGTTACTTAGAGTATGTGAGGGAGACAGAAATGCTATTTATAATACTTGGTGCTGTAGTTGGTGGAGTTTTTGCTTTAGCTATTATAGGTAAGAGTTCTTAGTTCTTTTCTGTTTGTTTATATTGCTATTGTTACTCTAAATTTAGTTTTCAGTGAATTTGCAATTTGATTAAAATCAGCTCTAAATCACACTCGCTTTTAGATCTAAGCGTGACCATATATGAAACTATTTCTGGTGACTATTCATACAGCCAATCATCGGCGAGTTTTCATAATTTTGAAAGCAATGTGGTTTCTAATTTTAACCCTGGGAAAACCAATACTCAGTGTAGGTAATATTCACAATTTCGAGAACAAACATGGCGTTGTCCATATAGCCGACAGGTAAACTGGCAAAACAATCTTGCCCATTAAAAATTGACTCCATTTTTTCAAGGAATTGTTAAAAATTACTTACAACATTTTTTTTTCCTAACAAAAATCAGCATTTTTTTTTTAACTTCCACATGTATACATGTATAACGGTATTTTGTTACTTCTTCTAATGCCTATATAAAAACTGTTTTGTTTGCATCGCTTTCTCGGGAATCCCAATTATAAAGATACCGTCCTCATCAGATCTACATAAAAGAAGTAAGTAGATCTGAACTTTAGTCAGATTAAGCCAAAGTATTATGTTACAGAATATTAAGATGAAACAGAATAATTTTATTGACTTAATATGTGATTAAATGAATATAAATTATCATCACACTTGAATGCAAAATAATGTAAATATGAATGCTTGAATGCAAAATAATGTAAATATGAATGAATTTTAGGCATTATTGTTGGATGCTACAAATACAGGAAAGTTGGGAAAAGGGCAAGGGCAATTGAAAAGAACTTGTCTGACATGGAGATGGAGATTAAACGAGTAGCAAGGGAAGGTAATAATGTTTTCATATTGCTGTTTTAGCTCACCTAATGTCACAAAGTGACATGGTGAACTTTTGTGATCGCTTTTCATCTGGCATCCTTCTGTCCATTGTCCGTCCGTAAACATTTACTTTAAGCGACATCTCATAAACCGCTGAGCCGATTTCATCCAAACTTCACAGGAATGTTTCTTTGTTCAAATAAAAGCCCTAGGGTAAAAATTGGCCCCGCCCCAGGGGGTCATTAATTTTCTTTATGTGTATATAGTTAAAACTTAAAAAATCCTCTTTTAAAAAACCAAAATAGCTAGAGCTTAGATATTAAGCATGAAACATCTTCTAGTGGGTGTCTACTAAGTTTGTTTAAATAAGGGCCCTTGGGTTAAAATTGGCCCTGCCCCGGGGATCATTGATTTTCCTAATGTGTGTATAGTAAAAATTTAAAAAATCTTCTTATAAAAAAATCCAAAGAGCTAGAGTTTAGATATTAAGCATGAAATATCTCCTAGTGAGTGTCTGCCAAGTTTATTCAAATAAAAGCCTGGTGTATTGCCCCCCATTATTTTTCCCTATATGCATATGGTAAAAACTTAAAGAAATCTTCTTATAAAAACCCCAAAGAGGTAGTGCTTAGATATTTATCATGAAACATCTTGTAATGGGTGTCTACCAAGTTTTTTCAAAGAAAAGCCCCAGGTTAAGAATTGGCCTTGGCCCAGGGGCCTATATACAGGTGAGCGATTTCAGGGCCAACATGGCCCCCTTGTTTATGTCCCCTGCATTTGGTTATTTAATCATCAATCCATACTTCTGTAATTTCATTGCTTGTTGGGTTGAATTTGAAGTGGCAGGTCATATCATCACCTTAGTGAAGTAATGGGTTAAATTCTATTAAATTATATGAGGAGTTAACACGTTACTGCACTTAAGTGACAATATATATATTGGGACTAGTGAAGGTAGTCCTCAGGTGCTCCTCTGTGCATTATTTCAAGCACAAATAGGCACCAGAGTAGAACCACTAATCTTTATGTTAACTGGTTTGATAGCTTCCTCACATTAAAGAAACCAGATTGGCTTGTGAGATTCCAACCTTCAATGGTGAGGGGCATGTGGTTTGTAGTCAGCTACCTTAACCCTTTACCTCATATATACGGGAAACAACGCACTTTCGACCCACCCCCTCCCCCTTTTTGTGGCCTCAAATAGTGAAAAAAATTCCTGTTTGGGCCCCAAACACATGCTTTCGTTTGAGAAATGTTGTTAAGAAAAGTGACCAGCCCCCGAACCGAAAGATACATCTGGAGGTTGACAGAAGGGGGATGTGCCCCCTTCTGTTTGGGGGGTTTGAAGGGGGGCAGCAGTCCCCCTCATCGCAAGGAAAATTTTGGACTTGTGAGAGGCTTAAAATGACCCCAGATCGATCATAAGGTAACGTGTAACCAACGCTAAAAAGCATTTGACTCTATCTCAATCCATTGAGAAGTTGCAGCACTTTGAAATCAATTTTGATGGAAAAATTCCACACAAAATACAGTTAAAGTTGAGAAACCAGACGGCTTTCGGACTGAGGGTTTTGTCCAGTTTTCTCAGTGGTCTGGTATTCTCAATGTCCCCATTAGCTGTTCAGGATCCTATGTACCGAGCAATGACTTACATAGGATACTGTATATTTGCATTTTCATCCTATTATTGCATATAAATACAATAAATTTTTGGATTTAAACCAACAGCAGTTATCTCATAACGACATTTGTATATGCATTTGGGTAATGGATAATGACTTAACAAACATAGTTTACTTTATTTGTTTATAATAATGCTCACATTGTAAATATTGTCAGATAAAGATTTTTAAAGTAGGTTTCGGCAAAGTTGCACTGTCTTTAATTTATTTAACTTTATCACTTATAGACAATTCTCGTCAAAATCTTTTCAGCCATGAAATAGAATTTTGCGCCGATAAATTTCGTTTCCATTGCGTTGTCATTTTGGGAAATGAATATACAAAAAGCAATGCAATATAAAAGTACTGTATTCTTTATTCATACTGATTTTAACTAACCAATTCATGGTTCATTTTGGCATTTATATAAAACAGTAAAATCTATGCCTTTGTGAAAAGAGGCATAATAAACAAATTAGACCATCAGTGCTCCTTTACCGCTTAGGTAGCGTTTAAGACACAATCAATTGAATAGTACACAAGGTTATTCACACCTTCGTCGTCAGTTATTGTTAGGGTAATTGTTTATATAATTGGTTTAAACATATTTATTTAAGCTGGATTGCGAAACAAGTTCTTGCAACTTATATTAATCACTTTCGAGTCCGCTTCCTGGAACCAACCTGTACTGGTGTCATATGAAGAAGTCTATAAAATTGACTTTGTAGTCCCCTATCAACTGTCCGATATTCAGTTTTTACAGATTCAGGTATTGTCAATGTTTGATGCAGTAGTTTAAAGAAGGGAAAATTTGGAACTGAATAATTCGTCCAGTATTTAGAGAGTTCTGATTTTCTCAACGTTGGTTTTCTCAAATTTCACTGTAGTGATTCTTTACAATTTTGAGACGTCCCCTCATTGCCACGGTAACAGGAAATTTAAGCCTGAGCATGTTGTTACAAAGGCAATTCATTCATTCACGTTTATTTTCACTTTACAAATAATCTTAATTATCAATACAAAAGCAATGATGCTGCCAAATTATATATCTGTAGAAACCACTTTTCCCAGTGTTTTAGCAAGTTGGGTACATTTGAAGTTATACTTTGGCAAATGGTTTCATATTATACACAGTTACCAATACACAGACAGTGATTTTGGCAAATTACGTAACTGCAGCATGAATGTTTTATTATTTTATGATCTGTATAGGAGGTTATGTCACATAATTAAAATTTTCAGGGTTTGTACATAATTAAAATTTTCAGGGTTCGTGACCTCAGCAAGTCACATGACTATTAAACTATTGGTTCCGTATATTAAGGTTTATTACACATACCTGAATGTCTGTCAGTGTTTGAGCTCATTAATTATACCCCCACCACAAAATGTGGGGGGGGCTATAATGGATTCGCTTTGTCGCGTCGGTCGGTCGGTCGGTCCGTCCGTCTCCATTTTCGTGTCCGCTCTATAACTCCTATACCACTTGAAGGATTTTCTTCAAACTTGGCTCAAATGTTCACCTCAGCAAGGGGATGTGCAGAACCCATGTTGCCCATGTGTCAGCTCAAGGTCAAGGTCACAATTGAAGGTCAAATATCAAACACAATCATATATTAGACAGTATGTCGTGTCCGCTCTGTAGGTCCTACAATAATTGAAAGATTTTCTTCAAACTTGGCTAAAATGTTCACCTCAACAAGGGAATGTGCAGAACTCATGTTGCCCATGTGTCATTTTAAGGTCAAGGTCACAATTGAAGGTCAAATATCAAACAATCAAATATTACACAATATGTCGTGTCCGCTCTGTACGTCCTACACTAATTGAAAGATTTTCTTCAAACTTGGCTCAAATGTTTATTTCAACAAGGGGATGTGCAGAACCCATGTTGCCCATGTGTCAGCTCAAGGTCAAGGTCACAATTGAAGGTCAAATATCGAACAATCAAATATAACAGAGTATGTCGTGTCCGCTCTGTAAGTCCTACACTTATTAAAAGATTTTCTTCAAACTTGGTTCAAATGTTCACCTCAACAAGGTTATGTGCAGAACCCATGTCTTAAGGTCAAGGTCACACTTGAAGGTCAAAAATTGACTTAGAAAATGTTCTTAAATTTTAACATATATCTGAATATTTCTGAATCTAGGAAAGGTATTTGCTTGAAACTTAAAATATAAATGAAGTGTCACAATTAAGATATGCTGGTCAAGTTTCATAACTCTGTATTGCATTTTAACAAAGTTATGCCCCTTTTTAATCTTCAAATTTACATACAATCACATATTAGACAATATGTTGTGTCCGCTCTATAAATCCTATACTAATGGAAGAATTTTCTTCAAACTTTTCTCAAATGTTCACCTAAACAAAGTTATGTGCAGAATCCATGTCACCTTTGTGCAGGCTAAAGGTCAAGGTCAGACTTGAAGGTCAAAAATTGACTTGGAAAATGTTCTTAGATTAAAACATGTTCTTGAATATTTCGGAAACTAGCATAGGTATTTCCTTAAAACTTAAAAGATATATGAGGTGTCACAATTACGATATGCAGGTCAAGTTTCATAACTCTGTATTGGATTTTGACAAAGTTATGCCCCTTTTTAAGTCTTTAAATTTACATACAATCAATACTAGACAATATGTTGTGTCCGCTCTATAAATTCTATACTAATGGAAGGATTTTCTTCAAACTTTACTCAAATGTTCACTCCAATTGGGCGATGTGCAGAACCCATCTTACCCTTGTGCCAGCTGAAGGTCAAGGCCACACTTGAAGGTCAAAAATTGACTTATAAAAAGTTTAGTATATTGGGAAAATGAAAGGTTATTTGTAACTGTTTCGAACATGATTTGATAATAGATATTTTTACTATTACCTGTACAATTAGTCTTTTTTTCACCAGAGATAATTTCTTTTTATGTATTTGTGTCACTTAAGTTATTCCCTTAACCACCTTTCCAAGTTGTCTTCTGTCAAGGACATTGGTGGGGGTATGAATCGCATTCAGCGATAGTTCTAGTTTAGGTTAGGAATAATTGTCTGAATAAGGAGTTACTTTATTATGTCCCCAAAATTGGTTTAAGGGGCTCATTAGGGTTCTTTTGGACATGGTTGAGTTTTCTAATGTTAATGCTATTTTATTCTATTTTTCTAGAGTTTTTGGACATGCACACGACCATGTCTTCGGTGAACAAGAACCTGGTGGAGCAAGGTTTCCCGTACCACCCTTATCAACAGTTTGCGTGTAATGTGATGTTCTCTGTAGATTATCTTTGGACAGAACCGGTTGTAAGTAACGGCAAGGTACGCATGCTTGTTAACATTTCTGCACTTCTTTTTGTGAAGAGCTACTGTCATAAAGAAGTTATAAAGGGAGATAATTATTTGCTGTCATTCCAATTAAAAGTAATATTTATCAACAATATTTGATTAAGAACAAGGCCATTTAAAGGAAAGGATTTCTTTTTTTGTCATGACAATTAGATTGTTATTGTCATTATTTGATATGTCAGTATTTGCGTGTCATGTGTAAAAATAAATATCAATTTACAATCCACTAAGGTGATAATATATACAACTATAATCCACTAGTCTCATATTCTAATATACTGAAGAGAATTAAAATTTATAAAAATATTATACAGGTTTTTAATTAAAAAAAAATTCTGAGACTGATTTTGAATTTGAGATGGTCATTTTTGGTGTTAGTGTTATCTAAGTTTTAATGTGATTCAAAATGAATTTGAGTTGGTCATGTTTTGATTCAATGAAATTCATAAGAAAATATAATCTATAAAAAATTATAAGCTTTAACTAGCAAAATTATTTTTTCAATCAATACTGTATATGTTTAATGGACATATCATTAATTAAGTAACTGCAAACCTTTTTAAATGTAGTTTATTATGCTAGTGTATATAGATATATATAACTAAATTGTTGTCTTTTATGTTTTTTAATAGGAGGAAAACAATTGTTATGTTAAAATACAGTTTTAGAATTTCAGTTGCTCTTCCATATTTATCAGTATATAACATTTTCTTCTGCATGCCTTTAGTTGTTTAAATGTTTATGTTACATAATTATATTTGTCACATGTATGTTGTATTATGGATCAGTTCTTTTAAAAAAACTGGATGTATTCTTTAGTGTTTGAAATTAGCATTTATACACATGGGGCCTCCTTGGCTATTAAGACAGTATTAAAGGGACTCCACTGAGGTCCAAAAGCCTAAAATATAAAATTTGAATTTCTTACATTATTTAAGATCACCAATGAGACTAAAAACAGAAATCTATTCAAAAGATAATTATGAAATTCACTTGAAAATAAATAATATTCCAGACTTTTTGTGATATTCTTAGTCAGATTTAAATGGAAAAAAAAATGGCAACGGTTTTCAAATTTTGGGTCATTTTTCACAATTAAAAGTTATTATTCTAGAAAAGCAGAGAGAGTGAATAAACTGAAATTTTGCACACAAGTTATAATCATTGACCTACATCAAATGTAAATATAAATCTTGTAAAATTATTTCAAGTCTTGTTATGTCTAAAAACCTCAGTGGAGTCCCTTTAAGTCATACTGTAAGGTTCTGCTGTAATTTTAAAACAATGAATGATCGGTCAGTGGCCACAACAGTTTGGGTTTTAGAACAAAATAACTTAAAATTGAAAAAAAAGAGAACAAATGGTTTCTTTTGTAAGTAAAAGATTTTTTGGATACAAAAACAAAAAACGAAAACTCTGTTATCTAAAACTAGTTGAATTATTTCATTTCGCAGGGCGTCTTTGTAGAAATGTTAAATTTTAAACACTGATTCTTTGGTAATTATGAATGGCTGATTGAAAAATGAATGTGAATTGTGACACTCTTAGCAGAATGATTTTTCTCTACAAATCAATATATTCTTCTGCAGTTATTTAAGCTAATAGCTTTTACATGTATGCATAAATATCTTTTTTGGGTTTCAACAAAAAAAAATGGGATGCTATTGTTTGCCACCATTTATTAGTTAATGTCTGAAATTTAGAAATTGCTTCAACTTTTAACCTGTGGAATAATTTGGGGGGAAATCCTGGGAAATTGTGAATATCATGCAGAATTTGTGGATGGTTTTGCCCTGTTTTGATTTTGTGAAAGTCCGTTTTGAATTACAATTGATTTCAATGACAAAATACATACATTAAAGTTACCAGCAGTATAAATCTAAGCCTTGTTTCAATGTTGGGACATGCAGGCATGGACGTGCAGACTGGCCTTGCGCTATACTGCTGGCAAAGGTAACTCTGTTGGTCCTAGCAGTTAAAGGGTAAATGCAAATGTACAGACCTTTTTAGTCGAAAATAACATATAAATGAGGTATACAGCACAACCCCTGTAGAGTAACACCCTTAGGGAATCCTTGGTTTTTGCTGAGAGGTGGTCTCTACAGAGGTTAAATTAAGTGTGAAATCAGGGCAAAATTGTTACTGTTGGTGTAAAGAGGAGATTGATCTACAGAGGGCTACTCTGAAGAGGTTTTACTGTAGATTTTCAATTGGTTAGTTAATGCCTTTGTTATCTCGCCGAAAAGGCGGCGGGGGATATAGAAATAGTCTCCGTCCGTCCTTCCGTCCGACATTTTTGTCCGGAGCATATCTCTAAAAGTATTTGAGTTATCAACATGAAACTTCATAGGTGCATAGATCTCACTCAGGAGGGGTGCAGTGCACAAGAATGATAACTCTACCTTTCATAATTTTTGAGTTTATGCCCTTTGTTATTTTTCTTACTTAATTTTTCACCTAAGTGAAGCATAACTCAAAAAGTGTTTGAGATATCAACATGAAATGTCATAGGTGGATAGATCTTATTGAGAAGGAATGTTGTGCGCAAGAATGATAACTCTTCCCTATACAATTTTTGAGTTATTGCCCTTTGTTCTTTTTCATGCTATTTTGTCCAGAGCTTATCTCAAAAAGTATTTGAGGTATCAACTTGAAACTTCATAGGTGGATGGATCTCATTGAGGAGGAGTGCAGTGCACAAGAATGATAACTCTACCCTGCATAATTTTTGAGTTATTGCCCTTTGTTATTTTTCAAAATTAATTTTTGTCCAGAGCATAACTCAAAAAGCCTTTGAGATATCAAAATGAAACTTCATAGATGCATAGATCTCACTCAAGAGGTGTGCAGTGCACAAGAATGATAACTCTACCTTTCATAATTTTTGAGTTATTGCCCTTTGTTATTTTTCATACCTAATTTTTAACCCGAGTGGAGCATAACTCAAAAGTGTTTGAGATGTCTACATGAAATGTCATAGGTGGATAGATTTTATTGAGGAGGAATGCTATGCACAAGAATGATAACTCTTCCCTGTACAATTTTTGAGTTATTGCCCTTTGTTCTTTTTCATACTATTTTGTCCAGAGTTTATCTCAAAAAGTATTTGAGGTATCAACTTGAAACTTCATAGCTGGATGGATCTCATTGAGGAGGAGTGCAGTGCACAAGAACGATAACTCTACCCTGCATAATTGTTTAGTTATTGCCCTTTTTTTATTTTTCAAAATTAATTTTTGTCCAGAGCATAACTCAAAAGGCCTTTGAGATATCATTATGAAACTTCATAGGTGCATAGATCTAATTCAGGAGGTGTGCAGTGCACAAGAATGATAACTCTACCTTTTATAATTTTTGAGTTATTGCCCTTTGTTATTTTTCATACTTAATTTTTCAATTCAATTTTTTTCTCAAAAAGTATTTGAGGTATCAACTTGAAACTTCATAGGTGGATAGATTTTACTTAGGAAGGATGCAGCACACAAGAATGATAACCTACCCTGCATTATTTTTCAGTTATTGCCCTTTGTTATTTTCAGCCATCAGTATTCACATAGGTTTCAAATATGTAATCACTATAGCCATCAGTTTTCATTATCAAAAGACCTCTTAAAATGGAATTATTCTGTTCTACTACATATACATTCTTCCAATGAGCAAACACATTCGGCGGGGGGTGGCCATGTTGACATGGCTCTTGTTAGTTATGAAAGAGCATGTCAAAACTATTTTGTATGTCATGTATACAGTTATGTTCGTGCAACTACCATTTGCTGGCTGTGAGACAACATGTTTTCCAATATACTATAGATATTTACTTTACTAATGAAATAAAGGAGGTTATGGTGTTTCTTTAACACACTATGTAAAATTATGGTGGCATTGGCAAGTTATTTAAGCTTATGTACTGAACATTGAACATACAATATTAGACAGTTTGTACTTTTTACATATTATTCAGATGTAACATTGTTAGTAGCTTTGAAATAAAATCATTATTATAGTTTGCAAAAATTGCACTTTCTTACTGTTATCAAGCATTTTTAATGCAAAGGCATTATTTTTCACAGTTGAATTAGAAATGTAGGGCATTCATTAAGTTGTTTTTTGTTAGTCCACAGTCACTGAATTAAAAGAGGGTTTTTTTTACCAATTCACATTAAGTGTTTTTGAAAAATTGTTTTTATTTTCTCTTTAAAAGTTATAATTTGTTTACCTTTATAATTGTATTAACATTTTTATCTGGCATTCTAGAAATCTAATGAAAACAGTCATTGATTATTTAAAAGTTCTTTTCACTTTTTGTATGAATTTTGTTCACAATTTTGTCACAAAGTTAACACAGTAGTTTTTTCACATTTAACAAACACTTTTGATAATCAAAGAAACCTTTTAAAGCTATTGGCAAATAGTTGATTGATTTGACACAAGGGTGACAAGTTCAATCTGGAACAAACCTTTAACAGAGTTTCGTGGAACCAGTCATGAAGTCAAATACGTACAAAGTATTCAACGAAAATAAATTCAAATTAGAGCAAATAATTAAGAAGACATAATTGATTATGAAATTCTAAATAAATACAATGCTTGATTATAAACACTTAAATAAATTCAATGCAGTATGTATGTGATATTTTATTGTTTAGTGCAATCTGTAGTCCATAGACGTTACCCGGAATTCGGCAAAGTGGGTTTTTCCCAGCTAATCTGTAGGTACAAACTAACTCTTACTATGATAGCTTAATGGGGCACTACCCCCATCACAATAGATTAGTCAACATGTTTCTCTTATTTTCGAAGCTGTTACTGTAAAAGTTTGTTTGTAGCTATGTTATTTGCTGGGAAAAACTAAAATATTCTTTATTCCGGAATAAGTCTATTTTTAGACAGTGCTATTTATGGTAACAAGAGATGATAATATCTATATATTTTGACTCTTGCAAGGCAAACAAATAATCAGGATATTTCAAATTCTTGAGCATATCAATAATTTTCAACATTTTAATTGCTGTTTTATAGAGATGTTTAAATGGAAAACACCTGTTGAATTTGGCAGCATTGTTTTAAAAGAAGAAATTTATCATGTTAGGGGAGGTAACTCCAAAATGTTACTTTTATAGTTAAGTAGGTATTGCTTCCCTTCCAACAGCAATGGAGAGTGGGAGAAAAAGTTTTCTTCTTCATGAGTTAAAATCAATTCCTAGATAAGAATTTTTTGCACATGTATAACATCAATTACTTAATAAGATTTTCTTGCACACATATATATTTAGAATTTTTTGTGATATAGTGGTAATTTATTCTATAGTATGATAGAAAGTCAGTAAGCTTTGACACATATGTTTATTAAAACCAGACAAAGGGGAAGATAATGTTACAGTTAATTTAAAAGTCCGGTCCAAAATAATTTTTTGTTCAAATGTATTAAGTCAGTGAATTATTAAGCATATTCAAATATGTTTTAATGGCAATATATTACTGTGTATAGAAACAGTGTGTCAGTGTGGCATTAAGTGAAATGTAGATATAAGTTCTGTAAGGGATTATAATTATAGTATAATATGATATACTTGTAGATGTAAAAATTTCATATAATTTTTCAAAATCTTTTTATTATATGCCCGAAAGAATTTTGGCATATATTGTTATATTTATTTATTTTTCTGCTTTAAATGCATTGTATTAATTGAACCTTTTTAGTGCTTGGGATGTAGTAATAATATTTTGGCTATGCAACTGGTATAGAGACAGTCTAGACTGGTTTTTACGTCCAGTCTGGTCCTCATTTCAGTCTACCAGACTATACTAGCTGTCATCTGCTTAATTTTTATTATTTTTACATTGAAACCCCTAAAACTCACAATGGACTGTTCCAAATTCAAACCAGGACAAGTTCATTTTACAAATACAGTAGGGGAACAAGATGTAATTTAAAAATTCTTCTTTGACTATCCTTTTCTCCTGTATGGTGCAAGCATCGTGCTTAACATAATTATATGATCTTACAAATTAAATGTTTCTAAATAATGATTACAATGTTGCTTGATATAATCACATGTGTAAATTATATGATTAATTAAGTCAAAGTAAGTATGTAAATTAAGATTTTATAATAGAATCTAGCTGAAAAAATGTTGATAGTTATTTTTTTTAAATGAAAGTATAAACAACCAATTGATTGAAATACAAAGCACAGTGAAATACAAAGCACAGTCAGCATCGGAAAAATAGCGTATGAAAATAAAGTTAAAGAAATGAAAATTAGGAGTGTTATTTCGTAAGTTGTGAAGATAGAATGTGTATTAGTATATAAAAAAGAAATGATCATCAATATGCGATATATAAATGTTGAATTTTATTTATAGATTTTGATTATGTATATTACATTAACACGCGCAGCGTTCATGTTTTTACATTATGCATGAATTATAAATCTGTGTACATTTATATCAGTCATTAATTAAAGTTATATTCTTTTATTATTCATTTATTGTCGTTTAATTGACCCGTCTTTTGTTAAAGAAAATTTGATTTTGTGGTTTTTAGATGACAGATGATGAGCGTTTGAAAGCTAATCGTGGAATGGAGTCGTTAGAATCGTTAATCTACAACAAATTCTTCCTTGTCTCCGTAATTTCCACGATGGAAAACGAGAAACGATTCTTCATACGAGAGAAGTAAGTTTCTATGTTCAGTTTGGTTATTTTCTTCCGAATTTTTTTTTCTTATTGATATTAACATGCCAAAAATTTCAAGTATGGAAAGCTATAATCAAAGGAAGTCAGTTAGTTAATACAGTGTTTCTATTGTGTTTGGATATGTGAGAAAAAGCATATAACTATTAATCATTTCTTGGCACATTATATAAATGTGAACAAAATCATAATCTTTATGGAAACTATATAAAGACTGTATAGTGAACAATTATGATTGTCTGTACTGGCCACATTAATTGTTAGATTATGTAGTTGCAAGTAGGCATAGAGTTGAAGTATCCCAAGTTGCATTTTTCACATGGAAAAACAAAAAATCAAAAAAACTTTTTCACTACAGTTTATGAAGATTTTAACTGTTTTAAGCAATTTTATGGCCATATTGAGGTTGTATTTACTACTCATGATAGTTTTTTTAAAAAAAGGACAAATTATGCCACTCCCCTGATAACAATGGACACTGTAACAAGTACTGATGCAAAGTTACAGATAAGTTTGTACCAAACAAACTTATTTTGCTATACAGTATAACCTGTATAGAGCAACACCCTTTAGGAGATTTTAGTTCTTGCTGAGAGGTGTGGCTCTAGGGAGGTAAAATTTGTTGGCCCAATGTTGTTGTAAAGAGGTTATTGCTGTAGAGAGGGACACTGTGCAGAGGTTCCAATTTCACTGAAAAGCTAAAAAAATGAACATAATTACATATCTAATCATTCTTTTCAGATCAAACTTGGCTGGAAACCTGTGTGCAGTGTTAATGGGTAGAATGGATTATCTTGATGAGTAAGTTTATATATTTTGTAGCTCACCTGAGCAAAACGTCTTTTATCCATAGTTATCAATATCTTCAGTCCTCTGTTATTTGAGTTCTTTCATGTGCGGAAGCTATCAAGCTAGACGGAACATCAGTGCGCCGAAAAATCCAACAACAACCAAACCTACCAACAACCACCCCCCCCCCCCCTCCCCGTTCACTCCCTAAAAAAAAAAAAAAAAATATTTGAAAATCTTTCAGATTTTGTTATACATGGTAAAACTAACTACACTGTTGATACTGTCTAAAATGACCAGAGTTCCTATATTTTTCTGAGGCAACTGATTTGATCACGGGCAAGGGGGATATTTAAATCTACAAGCTGAAAAATACAACCCACATAATTTAACCACATTTTAACAGATAATAATTATGAATTTCCAATCTGTTAATAATGAAACTCATGAATGACGCAGAAATTCCTAATTCTTGGGGGACAAGACATGTTTCCCAAATGTAAAAAAAAAAACCTGGATGTTTGGTAAATTTAAGGTTCTTATATATTTTCAGGATATTAAAATTGTTGATGAATAATTTGGTACAAGATTCTCCAGCAAGAAAACACAAGGCACTCTTCAGAAGGTATGTAGTGAAGGCATATTTTTTTTTAAAGATGAATAGTAAATATATCAAAATATATGCAGACTATTTTGACAAGCAATTATATTTTCAGTATTATAAAATAGACTCCACCAAAGTTTTTTGACAAGATAGGAATGGAAATTTTTTTCCCCAAGATTTTTTTACACAACTCAAGGAAGATCATTTTATACCAATAACTTATGTGCAAAATTTCAGATCATTTGCTCCTTATGTATTTAGAGTATTATCATTTTAATCATGCAAAATGACCAAAACCTGAAAAGCATTTACCGGTAAACTCTTTTAACTCAGATTGGACTAAGAGTCAAACTAAATATTGCTTTTGAATTTATTTCTTCATACATTATTATCAAATTTTCCTGTTTTGCATTCTCCAAGTTGCTTTATGTAAGGTTTTCAGATTTTATGAACCTAAACTGTGCTTAAAGAAAAGGAATTACTGCCTGCTTACTAGCTATTGTTTAAAATCTTTGGGTACATTATAATCAGTCACAGGTCAATTAAGTGACACAATAATGGAACACTTTAATCTTTTTTCACAATGAGTAAAGTTATAATTTCATTTTATCAATGCTTAATTATATAAATATGTAACCTTTTAATGAATGTTTATATTGATTTGAGAATTTAAATCGCAGTTGGCAGTCAGTAATTTGTCCTTTATCAAAGGGACCTTGAACATCGTATTTTTCTGGAGCAGAAAATCTGGGCTTATAAATGATTCATTCAATGATTCATAGTGTATTCATAGTGAAAAAAGGTGATTAAAAGTAGCTATATTAATTAATTGCTTTTCCAATTGGTATCCCAAAATAAAACAAAAACACTGTATTATGTGCCCCAAAGAGACGTAAATCTATTTTCGTAATGTGTGTTTGATAACTTTATAATATTTGTTGGTGAACTTACATGGAAAATTTTTGACTTGTCCGTAATCTGTTATGTTCTGAAAATATTCCAAAACCGGTTTTTTTTATGAATAGTTTTTTTTCAAAAAAAAGAAAACATGATCACATGTAAGGACACCCAAAAACAAAATCATTTTTTCTTGTAAATCTGTTCCCGTCCCGAACTGGTTTTCAATTTTTATTAAGAATTTGTTCCCCAATTTTTTACAAAAGAAAATTTTTATATCTTTTCCAAAAGCAGATTTTTTCATGCACAAAATCCTTGCACATGATTTATTTTGTTAATAACAGTTTGTGTATGACCCCGAACCTTTTTAAAAAACATTCTAAAGGTACAATTTTTTTAAAATTAACCCAAAATGTAAGTTTTTCAACCCGTAAGGCCGAAAGTGTTTTTGCCTTTTCCCAGTATAGGCCAAGCCGCCCGAATCCTTTTGGCTTGACGGCTTTTTCTGTTTGGGACCTTAATTTTAAAGCGTTGATATCAAAATCCCTTAAACTTTGAATGGACTGTTCCAAATTCAAAAAAAGGCAAATCCATTACAAAAATTTAGCAGGTCAAGGGTTAAGGAAACCACATATTTTCAAAATTAATAAAAAATATGTTTTTATATTAGTTTAACTTTGTAACTGAACAAAAAAATATGGGGATTCTTTTTGCCTTTTGAATGCAGTCTCAAGAATATTGTAGCTAAGGCAGCATAGTTCTACTCAAATATTGACTTGTATGGAACGCCGTGACTGTCTTATGCTATCAATGTTTTTGCTATCTTCTGAAATGATGATATTATTTTGTCATTTAAGCATATAAACATGTGCAATTTACATCATATCTTGTCTAAAGACAATGCTGAACTTGTTCAAACAGCATGTTAACTGTCAAATAATCATTATGACATGTGCAGACAACATGTTAACTGTCAAAGTATCATGATGACTTGTGCAGAAACAACCATGTTAACTTGTCAAAATATCATAATGATTGTGCAAAACGACATGTTAACTTGTCAATATTTCATGATGACATGTGGCAAACAGCATGTTAACTTGTCGAATTATCGTGATGACATGCTCATAATACTTAACAAGTTAACATGTGTTTTGCACAAGTCATTACGATTCTTTGAACAAATTAACATGTTGTCTGCACAAGTCATCATGATACATTGACAAGTTAACATGGCATTTGCACAAGTCATCATGATACATTGACAAGTTAGAATGTAGTTTGCACGAGTCATCACGATACTTTGACAAAGTTTAACATGCTGTTTGCACATGTCATCATGAAATTTGGACAAGTTAACATGTTGCTTTCACAAGTCATCATGATACTAGGACAAGTTAGCATGTTGTTTGCACAAATGTTATCACGATGATCTGACAAGTTAACATACTGTTTGCACATGTCATCATGAAATTTTGACAAGTTAGCATGGCATTTGCACAAGTCATCATTATACTTGGACAAGTTAACATGTCGTTTGCACAAGTCATCATGAAACTTGGACAAAGTTAACATGCTGTATGCACATGTCATAACGATAATTCGACAAGTTAACATGCTGTTTACACATGTCATCATTGAATTTTGACATGTTAGCATGGTATTTGCACAAGTCAGCATGATACTTTGACAAGTTAACAGTGCTTTTTGACATGTCAGCATGATACAAGATAACATGTCATTTGCACAAGTCATCACGATTCTTTGACAAGTTCACATGTTGTCTTCACAAGTCATCATGGTTACTTGACATGTTAACATGCTGTTTGCACAAGTCATCATTATACTTTGACAAGTTAACATGCTGTTTGCACATGTCATCACGATAGTTTGACAAGTTAACATGTCCTATTCACAAGTCATCATTATACTTTGACAAGTTAACATGGCGTTTGCACAAGTCATCATGACATTTTGACAAGTTAACATGCTGTTTGCACATGTCAGTACAATAATTTGACAAGTTCACACTGACGTTTGCACAAGTCATCATTACATTTTGACAAGTTACCATGTCATTTGCACAAGTCATTATTACTTTGACAAGTTAACATGTTTGTTTGCACAAGTCATCACGATACTTGACAAGATAGCATGTTGTCTGCACATGTCATCATAATAGTTTGACAAGTTAACATGCTGTTTGTACAAGTCAGCATGTTCATTTGACAAGACATGATGTAAATTGCACATGATAACATGCTCGAACGACAAAATAATATCATCGTTTCACAAGATAACAAAAACATTGATTACATAAGACAGTCACGGCGTTCCATAGACTTGTGTCTAAAATATTAATAAGACACAGCTAAGGGTCGGTTTTTGTGACTTACCAAAGGAGTGTAACCTGTTTACGTAAACAGCGGTGACGTGACTTGGAATGAAACGGCAAAAACAGCTTTAAAATCAATACAGTACTTACGTCCAACCTCAATCAACCAGGCACAAGCAGTTCTAAGTCCTTTGTTTACCTAAACTGCTAAATGGTTTTTAGCACCTGGCTTATTGAATGTGAAGAAACGTTCACTACATACGTGCGATTTCAAATGTCTGTGTCCTTCAACTTTACGAAAACAAATCTGAAAGTCGTGATATCATTATCAAAGACCAATCTATGACCAGTTTAATTGATAATTTGCGATGTCTTTTCACAAGACATGGGCTCTACCTGCACTTGTTTATACCCACTGTAATGATAATTACAAAATGATATAGTCAGAACAGTGATTTTATTGCTAAAAAAATCACTGTTTGGAGTTCAGATGCTAGGAATTATATCACAAGGGTGTAGCTGCGCTGATTAGCCACCAGTTTAGGCAGATTAGCCACCAGTAAAGCCAGATAAGCCACAAATGAAGGCAGATTTGCCACAAGTAAAGGCAGATTAGCCCCCAGTAAAGGCAGATTAACCATCAGTAAAGGCAGATAAGCCGCCAGTAAAGGCTGATAACTCACCAGTAAAGGCATTTAAGCCACCAGTTAAGGCAGATAAGCCACCAGTAAAGACAGATTTTCCACCAGTAAAGACAGATTAGCCACCAGTAAAGACAGATTAGCCACCAGTAAAGGCAGATTAGCCACCAGTAAAGGCAGGTTAGGAGGTTTGCCACCAGTTAAGGCAGATACGCCACCAGTAAAAGCAGATTAGCCACCAGTAAAGGCAGGTTCGCCACCAGTTAAGGCAGAAAAGCCACCAGTAAAGGCAGGTTCGCCACCAGTAAAGGCAGGTTAGCAGATTTGCCACCAGTTAAGGCAGATAAGCCACCAGTAGAAGCAGATAAGCCACCATTAAAGGCAGGTTAGCCACCAGTTAAGGCAGTAGAGCCACCAGTAAAGGCAGATAAGCCACATGTAAAGGCAGACACATGCCATGTGACCTTAAAATTGTTGCTGTGACTTAAAACCTTGACGATAAAAGAAAAAATTGTACATAGTCATGAATGGGACATAAAAATGTATATAAATACACACTAGCATATTGTAATTCCTGTTTTCTATGCTGCAAGTATTTTTGTTGTTATTTCTGTTTTGTAGTAACATGCAATAATGTTTATTTTTTAGGTGTGAGAGTATAACGGAAAAACTGTTAAGTAACTGGCTGTCACTGTGCCTGTACCCACATGTCAAGGTAAATCTTTTAAACTTTCATGTTACTGTTTTGGCATCAATACTACATGACTTGTCAACATAGATATTTAAATTGTCTTGCCCCATTAAAGATGTGATTTCTATTATTTAACAGTAAATCACATTGAATAAGCTCATCTAAAAAAATACTTATTTAATGTAAAGAAAAAATGTAGATTAGTAAGCAAATATGGTATAAGAGAAGTCCTATTGTTTTCCATTTACAGAGTCTTAACCAAGTGGTTCCATGGTATGATTCTGGTTCCATATCATTATTTTGGTTCCCGTTGTTATCTGTTTTCAGAGCCATTCTGGTTCCAAGTATTTCAGAGACATTCTGGTTCCTAAATTTTCAGAGACATTTTGGTTCCTAGTAATCAATTTGGATCCAATTGTAATAATTTTACACAGCTTTTATGGTTCCATGTATTTTAGTTTCATTCATTCTCTTTTTTCAGAGCCATTCTGGTTCCCCTCTGTACCTTCTCTACATGGCTACACAGAAAACAATGGAGTCCGGCCCCATAGATGCTGTGACAGGTGATGCCAAATACACATTGTCTGAGGAAAAACTGCTGAAGAAATGGAGCTCCTCCATGGACGAGGACAATGATCAAGACCTTAAGTTTGAGGCCAAAACATTGGTAAGCTTCAATATTTACAAGTCATTCTAAGAAAATTTAGTCTGCATGTTTTTAGCTTCATTTTTAGCTCGAATATTCAATAAGAATAAGTAGAGCTATTGTAGTCACCCGAGCGTCTGTGTCGGGGTAACTACTTATGTTAAAGTTTTTGTAATACCTATAATATTTTCAAAGTCCATTGACATATGGCTTTGAAACTTTGCATAGTTGTATACCATCATGACCTCAACCTGTAGACAGGAGGAGGTAACTCTATGAAACATTTTGACAGAATAATGCCCCATTTCAACTTAAAATTTACATTTAGGTTTGCATACCAACTCAGATATTTTCATATTCTATTGACATTTGTATTTGAAACAAGTTGAAATTTTATACTCTCCTATGAGAGCATAATAGGACTATCTCCAAGACCTATAACTGTAACATGGATTTAAAGAAAAATTCTGCCCTTTTTGTTAACTCAGAAAATTTTACATTATCAAGGCTCTTTTACTATCAAGCACTAAGAATAGTCTAGCGTTGCTCTCCTACCGACAGCTCTTGTTTGGAAAGAAAGTGGAGCTATTGCCATGACCCTCAGGTTTTTTGCATTACTTGGTTAAGTACTTGGCAATACCATACAAAAAATACTCAGTCAAGTGATAAGGACTGCAATTCTATTGTTAAATGAGAAGGGCAATATGTTGCAATACTCTTGTTAAATGATAAGGGCAATATGCTGCAATACTTTTGTCAAATGATTATGGCAATATGCTGCAATACTCTTGTCAAATGATTGAGATAATATGCTGCAATACTCTGTCAAATGATTATGGCAATATGCTGCAATACTCTTGTAAAATGATAAAGGCAATATGCTGCAATAATCTGGCAATGATAAGAGCAATACATTTCACTGTTTACATGCCAGTTTCACATTTATTATAGGTAATCATAATAAAAAGAAATACTGTATGGCTGTTTATTTCAGACACTGAACGTGGTAGTTGACAATGGTGATGAAATTTTCAAATGCAAAGTTCTAGACTGTGACACAATTTCTCAGGTGAAAAACAAATGCCTGAATCAAATATATGTGAACTTTCCTGCCTCTAAACTTCCTGTTGGAGCCAATGATCTGGAATTGGGTAAGTTTTCTTCATTTCTGCAATATCATAGTAATTAAAGTAAATACACACATAGGATTTTTATAAATTTCTTTTCTTTGAACTAATTTCATAAGCCATTTTTCTTACCTGTACATAAGTCTTACAATCTATATGGTTAAAATTTTTAAAAGCATGCAATAGCGTTTTTGAAAGTGATTATATAGGGAAAGTTTTTTTACAAAGACAACATCATATGTATCTTATGGACACATTAGAAATTTCAAACAGCTTTTGTCATAGCTTTATTTCAGATATTTTAACAGTGAAATGAAGTAATATTTTGAAAATGGTACATAGATATTTAATAATTATTCTTAATGACCTTGACCTTTTGCGTATTTTTAGAATGGCATGAGGGATTTGGAGGGACATTAAAGTTACGTGATGAAGACAACACATCAAAACGTGAAGGTAAATGGGTACGATTTAACACGTTAGCACATTACAACGTGAAGGATGAGAGCAACATGGCACTGATAGATCCCCATAGTGCTGACAACAACCTAGAGGACTACGGTAAATTGTTTAAAATCATACATTGGTATGTCTGTGACCTAATGGTTAAGGCCATTGACTTCAAACCATTTGAAACCACCTCCGTGGTCGAGGGGTTAGAGTTGCTGACTTTTAATCCAGTTACCTCTCTGGCGTGGGTTCGATCCCCTGGAGATGCTTTGGTAGTTTAGCACGGAGGAAGGTAGTCTAGTACTGGTGTAACTCTCCAGGAATGATGGTTAGGAAACTACCCGCCTATATGACTGAAATACAGTTGAGAAAATGAAACAAACAAACAATCAAACCATTTGACCCTCACTGTTATGGGTATGAATCATGCCAGGGACTTTGAATTCTAAATTGCGAGAAAGCTATCCATGTACCTTACATAATATTGTTGGTTCTACACGGGTGCCTGTTAATGATAATGTCTAAAAGAACACAAGGAGGGGCTCCTGAGGTCTTCCTCCAACAGTTAATCTAGAAAGTTACCGTCTGATCACTTTAACAGTGTTGGGACAAGTATAACACAACAAGAAAATTCATAATTGGAGTTATAAATTTGTGTATATTATGAATTTTTAGGCAAGCATTGGAAAAGTTAATTTAATTTGATGCAGTTACTATCATACTAAAACTTGTGAAACTTTTGCTTTTATGTATATCTATACATTATTTATTTAAACGATCAATTTTCTTTGTCAATTGTAGTGAATTTAGCCAATATCAATATGGATGGGGTGTGTGACGGGAGCATTGATTCTTCACAGCCCCTCACTTTACATGATCCAGAAAATCCACATGAATGTGAACAGTGGCACTTGGTAAGTCATTTCTTTCTAGCTGACCAGATCTGGGCTGTTCAATGAAACATAATATCCTAATTTAATGAAAATAAATAACAATGTAAATTATAAACTTCACAAAATGTTCAGATCAGCCTACTGTCATAGTTTTTACACATATGTACGCAATGTACCTTTGGATCAGAGATAAGTTTTAACATTATTCATATGACTAGATTTGACCCCTATATGTTGTTGACCTTCAAGGTCAAATTTTCAAAATTTAAGACATTGCACTTAAATATGTTTTGACTGGGCATTATGCTTAAGAAACACTTGAACTTTGTTATGAACTGTGCTGAGGGAACACTTGAACTTTGTTATGAACTTGCTGGAATTGAAAAAAGATTGGTATTTGCCACTAGTGTAGAGCAAGGCAAACCTCCACATTTGTGCATTCTGACCAGGATTTGAACTGTTTACTGACTTACTTTAAATATTTGGTGGTTATGGTCTTTTACTTCAAACCACTTGCCTCTCACGGCTGTGAGTTCAAATACCGGCAGGGACTTTAGATTCTTTCATGTGAGGAAGCTAACTTACAGAACGTCAGTGGTTCTACTCAAGTGCCAGTTTGTGCTTGCAATAATGCACAGAAGGTCACCTGAGGTCTTCCTCTACCAGTAAAGCTGGAAAGTTGCCATATGACCTGTATTGTTTTGGTGTGATGTAAAACCCAACCAAAACTTTAAATTTTCATGTTGTTATCCCCTATAACTTGTTCCAGAAATGGAAGATAAACAAGTCCCTTTTGGAAGTTGATGTGGGTAAGGATTAATTATTATTTTCAGGTTGGGGCTCTTGTTAGCTCACCTGTCACAGAGTGACAGGGTGAGCTTTTGTGATCGCTTTTCGTCCGGCGTCCGTCCGTCCGTCCGGCGTCCGTCCGTCCGTAAACTTTTACTTTAAATGACATCTCCTCATAAACCACTAAGCCAATTTCATCCAAACTTCACAGGAATGTTCCTTTGGTGGTCACCTTTGAAAATTGTTCAAAGAATTTAATTCCATGCAGAACTCTGGTTGCCATGGCAACCAAAAGAAAAAACTTTAAATATCTTCTTTTAAAAAACCATAAGAGCTAGAGCTAAGATATTTGGCATGAAACATCTTCTAGTGAGTGTCTACCAAGTTTGTTCAAATAAAAGCCCTGGGGTCAAAATTGGCCCCGCCCCGGGGGGGTCATTGATTTTCCCAATATGCATATAGTAAAAACTTAAAAAATCTTCTTTAAAAGAACCCAAAGAGCTAGAGCTAAGATATTTAGCATGAAACATGTTCTAATGGGTGTCTACCAAGTTTGTTCAAATAAAAGCCCTGGGGTCAAAATTGGCCCCGCCCCGGGGGGTCATTGATTTTCCCTATATGCATAAAGTAAAACTTAAAAAATCTTCTTTTAAAGAACTCAAAGAGCTAGAGCTTAGATATTTGGCATGAAACATCTTCTAGTGAGTGTCTACCAAGTTCTTTCAAATAAAAGCCCTTGGGTCAAAATTGGCCCCGCCCGGGGGGGTCATTGATTTTCCCTATATGCATATAGTAAAAACTTAAAAAATCTTCTTTTAAAGAACCCAAAGAGCTAGAGCTAAGATATTTAGCATGAAACATGTTCTAATGGGTGTCTACCAAGTTTGTTCAAATAAAAGCCCTGGGGTCAAAATTGGCCCCGCCCCGGGGGGTCATTGATTTTCCCTATATGCATATAGTAAAAACTTAAAAAATCTTCTTTTAAAGAACTCAAAGAGCTAGTGCTTAGATAGTTGGCATGAAACATCTTCTAGTGAGTGTCTACCAAGTTTGTTCAAATAAAAGCCCTGGGGTCGAAATTGGCCCCGCCCCGGGGGGGTCATTGATTTTCCCTATATGCATATAGTAAAAACTTAAAAAATCTTCTTTTAAAGAACCCAAAGAGCTATGGCTAAGATATTTAGCATGAAACATGTTCTAATGGGTGTCTACTAAGTTTGTTCAAATAAAAGCCCTGGGGTCAAAATTGGCCCCGCCCCGGGGGGTCATTGATTTTTCCTATATGCATATAGTAAAAACTTAAAAAATCTTCTTTTAAAGAACTCAAAGAGCTATGGCTAAGATATTGAGCATCAAACATGTTCTAATAGGTGTCTACCAAGTTTGTTCAAATAAAAGCCCTGGGGTCAAAATTGGCACTGCCCGGGGGGGGGGGGGGGGGGGGTCATTGATTTTCCTTATATGTGTATAGCAAAAACTTAAAAAATCTTCTTTGAAAAAACCCAAATAGCTAGAGTTAAGATATTAAGCATGAAACATCTTTTAGTGAGTGTCTACAAAGTTTGTTCAAATAAAAGACCTGGGGTCAAAATTGGCCCCGCCCCGGGGGTCATTGATTTTCTTTATATGTGTTTAGCAAAAACTTTAAATCTTCTTTGAAAAAACCCAAATAGCTAGAGTTAAGATATTAAGCATGAAACATCTTCTAGTAAGTGTCTACTAAGTTTGTTCAAATAAAAGCCCTGGTGTCAAAACTGGCCCGGCCCCAGGGGTGTCATTGTTTTTAACTATATGTGTATAGTAAAAACTTAAAAAAAATCTTCTTTTAAAAAGCCCAATGAGCTAGAGCTTAGATGTTTAGCATGAAACATCTTCTTATGGGTGTCTACCAAGTTTGTGCAAATAAAAGCCCTTGGGTTAAATTGGCCCTGCAAAGTTGGGGTTGGGGGGGCCTATATACAGGTGAGCGACCTCAGGGCCATCATGGCCCTCTTGTTTTTTTGTTTGTACATTGAATACATTTATTATCAGGAAAAAAATTTTTTTTCAGATAAAAAAGAGAAAGAGAGTTCTAAGCAAGGAAGGGGGCTATTACCAGAGCTGTATCTCAACAGACTATTCACAACTAAGGTATGTACATGTTAATATACATTTTAATTGGAAAAATGTTCTAGAACAAATTATTACCTTCTGCTATGTAGAGGATATTTGTTGAAAAGTTTTCTATGAACATGGGATTTATTTTGTGTGGTATGAAATATAATAATTTTCATATCACAAGATGAAAATAAATCCTGTATCTATACTGGTCGGAGAGATAACTCCGATGCATTCGGAGAGATAACTCTGACGCATAGATAACCCCGACACTTGATAAATACAATTTTTATAACTTTGTTTTTCAACAAAAAAGCATATGATCACCTAGAAGTATATGAGCAGGACAGAATGTGATGATTTTTTGTAAGTTGGTAAACTTTTTAATATTTTTCAATTAACCGAAACTTTTCGTTGGCAAAACTGCTTCAAAACGTTCTTTTTACTTAATTACAATGAGGTAGTTAGAAATGTATTGACCACAGGCCACTGACTTGGGAAATATTTTTATCCCCCGCCGATGGAATCGGGAGGGGGATATAGTTTTGGCGTTGTCCGTCCGTCCTTCCGTCCGTCCGTCCGTCCGTCCATCCGTCCGTCCGAATTTCGTTTCCGGAGTAGTTCTCTGCAACTAATGGCTGGAATTCAACGAAACTTTATGGGAATGTTGATCAGCATGTGAAGTTGTGCACCTGGGTATTTTCGTCTGGATATTTTTAGTATTTTTAGAGTTATTGCCCTTGACTTAGTAAAACGTCCGAATTTCGTTTCCGGAGTAGTTCTCTGCAACTAATGGCTGAAATTCAACGAAACTTTATGGGAATGTTCATCAGCATGTGAAGTTGTGCACCTGGGTATTTTCTTCTGGATATTTTTAGCATTTTTAGAGTTATTGCCCTTGACTTAGTAAAATTTTGTAATTTTCAACTTGTGTCGCATGTAACTCAAAAAGTGTTTGACCTAGAGTCATGAAACTTTACAGGAATGTTGATCAGTATGTGTAGTTGTGCACCTGGGTATTTTCGTCCGGATATTTTTACTATTTTTAGAGTTATTGCCCTTGACTTAGTAAAATTTTGCAATTTTCAACTTGTGTCACATGTAACTCAAAAAGTATTTGACCTAAAGTCATGATACTTTACAGGAATGTTGATCAGCATGTGTAGTTGTGCACCTGGGTATTTTCGTCTGGATTTATTTAGTATTTTTAGAGTTATTGCCCTTGACTTAGAAAATGTTTGCAATTTTCAACATGTGTCGCATGTAACTCAAAAAGGATTTGACATAGAGTCAATTAACCTTATTGGAAAGTTGCTCAGCATATTTAGTTTGTTCCTAGGGTTTCGCTTGTGGATTTATCCAGTTTTTGTAGAGTTATTTCCCTTGACTTAGTAAAAACTGTTTCATTATGTTGTTATTTGATCCTTGAGTGCTTGAGTTAGAATCAACCAACTTTACAGGAATAATGATCAACATCACTAAATTACGAATAATGAAGTCTGGAGATTAAGATGTTTTTACATCTAGGTGAGCTATTGTGATCCCCCACCGTCCGTCGTCATGCGTCGTCAGCAATTTCTTTAAACAACATCTCCTCAGAAACAAATGACTGCACAGCAACCAAACTTTACAGGAATGATCCTAGGGTGGTCCCCTGCCAAAGTTGATCAAATGGTTCCGGTCTGTTGCATAGCCTTATGTCTTCAGTTGTTGTGTTAATAATAACCAGTACTCGGCGGGGGATATAAATTCAACGAATTTGCTTGTTGAAAACTTGTTTTTTACATCAACAAAAAATAGATAAAACATATAAGATGTAAAAATAAATTAATGATGCTGATTTTCCTGTCATTTTTAAGTGTCGACTTTATCTACTGTTGAGGCGAAATATGACCATGTTTTGTATACACCATTCAGGACCTTAAAGAAGTACCAATTCTCATTTTCATACATAATTTTTGTAGTGTAATGTAAAGTCTTTGAACTGAACTTTATTTAGGTGGTTCAATATTTAAAATATACAGGAAGATAATTAAGATATTACAAAAAGTATGTGATTTAGTGTTGGAGTTATCTCTCCAACCAGTAGAAAAAAACATGAATTTTCTGTTTATTATATATTTTTTCTCTCTTTCTTTTTGCAATTTAAAAGACTTTACCTTTTATTTTGTTAATTTACTGAATTTTGAACAAGGCACAGTGAAAATATGAAAAATATGTTTCACTGCAGTGAAAAATAAATTTTTACATATGAATATACACAAAATGAAAATATTCAATATATTTTATCAATATTTCCCAGTATTTCATTTATAAGTATATAATAAATACAGATATAAAATGTAATGTTGGATCATGTATCTCACACATACTATCGAACAAAATTAAGTATACATGTGTAATTCTTTCATGCATAATTATTGTCATGTATAATACTTAAAACTTTCAACATAATTATTTATGCTATTATAGACCTTTCTGTTATGTACAATTTCACTTTAATTTCAGCAATCATTGATGGAATATATGAGACCACTATTTGATATCATTTTGGACCACGATAAATGTCCCCCACCCACCAAATTCCTGTATGATTATCTGGACGAGTTAGGAGAGAAGTACAAAGTAGATGTAGAGACAGTACATGCATGGAAAAGTCACAGGTAAAATCATAAGACTTAAAGGAACTCCACTGAGGTCCAAAAGGCCTAAAAATATAAAATTTGAAAATCTTAAAAATATTAAGAGAAACACTTGAAATGGTAAACTCTGCAAAGGATAACAAACAAAGAAATATGGTCAGAATTGAAATGAAAATCGGTTTTCTGTGTGATTATTATACATGTACGGACTCATTTTATGGTCATTTTGGAAAAACAGGATGAGGGAATGACTTGAAAAATTGCACAACAGGATGAGGGAATGACTTGAAAATTTGCACACAAGTTATTAGTCTAGCACTTCACCAATATGTTTACCAGTCTTGGGAAAATATTTCCAGTCCTGACACATCAAAAAACCTCAGTGGAGTCCCTTTTAAGTTTTAATTATGTGAAAAATAAATATTATCTAGATTATCCATGAATTATATATATAAAAAGTAAGATTTATCTATCAAATTCAAAAATATATATAAATACGTCATATCATCCTAAACACCAAAAAAACAGCATTCCTTTTAGCCAGGCAACAAGGATACGCCGGATATGCAGCACAGATTCGTCTTTTGATGAATGTGCTGTAATTTTAGCTAGAAACCTTCGCAACAGAGCCTACCCAGTCAACATAATAAGAGAAGCAATCCAAAAAGCCCGTCTTATGAAAACACATACATCAACGATCAATGATACCAACAGGAAACAAATAATACCGTTTGTCTATACTTACAACCCATACATCCCACAGGTCCAAAACATCTTAAATAGTCATTTAAAAATACTTGTCAATAGTTGTTCTAATAAATTTATAAATACTACAAAAATTCTCGCAGTCCCAAGAAGATGCAGAAACATGAGAGATATGCTAGTACGATCGGACCTTAATCACACTTCAAAACTGGCTGGTAGTTATCAATGTGGACAACAGTGCATTACGTGCCAATACATACAGAACTCTTGTGAATTCAATAGTACTAATACTAAGAAATCTTACAAAATTAATGGCCACTATACTTGCACTACTCCTAGCGTCATATACCTTATCACCTGCAAATTTTGCCAATTACAATACGTCGGACAAACCAGCAATACTTTTAGAGAACGCTTCTATGGCCATATGGCAGACATACGCGCTAAAAACGATGTGAAGCCTATTTCCCGCCACTTTGGCGTCTATCATGACGTCAAAAATATAATTCTAACACTATCGGATTTTTTTCTATATAGACAAAGAAGGCCCGAAGCGTGCATTATTCTACAACAATGCACTCTCCGTTCTTATTACCTCCCTATGTATTTTCACATTGAGGGCGTCATTTTGTTTAAAAAATCTGATAAATAAAAACATTTTTTGTCGAATTTTGTTATGAAAGCTATCTAGAATGAAAGAAAATGGTCTAACTAAGAAAATGAATCCGAACACCAATATCTTTAATTCAGTCGTTAACGCTGTACAGACGTTTAAAGTTTCGTTTACGTGATGTCACAATATAGCGCCAAACAGCACGTGCAAAACAATCAAATCAAGTACTCTATTTTAATGTCGCAAACAAGTTAAGTTTCACATTTATTTCACTTTTAAAAATTTGTATTTCGCTTGAAAAATTATAGAGTGAAATAAAATAAACAAACAAAGTTTTTACCAACGTTTTCAAAATTTGTTTTTCTCAAAATGTTTCTACACACGGTAGATTTATTGACAGCTTTTTTCAACCAACTGGGACAGCCTTTAAAGAACATTTCTATGGGAAACTCTGAGGCGAAAACAAATTAGACCACCAAACATAGAGTCCAACTTTATAATAATAATTATATTTTTTCTTGACGTGTTAGAATGGAAATAGATATTAATTCTTTGTGCATTATTGTATAATAATGCACGTTTTTCGTTCAAATGCTTTGTAATTAATCACTCAGGCCTATTGGCCTTCGTGATTATATTACTACGCATTTGAACTCAAACCGTGCATTATTTTACAACAATGCACTCAGAATTGATATCTATTTCCTAAACGTTATTATCATTACACAAACTGAAAGAAATACAAATACTCGTCTCAGAACGGAAGAATTATGGATTCGAAAATTACGGACAAAAATGCCAGAGGGAATGAATCTAATTTAAACAAGTTCTTCATAGCAAAAAAATTAAACGAATACACAGCCGAAGAATTAACTAAATATAACTTCATTGAAAAACCAGAAATTTGCGTTCCGTGCTCTAAGATGTTTGAGAACAAAAGGAGATACAAATACCATATGCAATCTACACACAGCAACTTAGTTACGAGGTACATTTGGGACTGGTGTCAAAAGATGTACGCCACTAAAAATTCAGTGAAAAAACATTCGCGTACCATACACTTCCTCGTACAAAACAACTCAGGACAACTCATACTACGAAAAAAATCTAAGAAACAGACAAATACGAATGACAGCGAAACAATCAACATTAATGACATTACTACAAACATTCCAGCGCCTATCTCACCTCTACCATCGACACCAGTAAAACACACGTTCACCGACACAGTAGCCAGTACATCTTCAACATCTACAGTATGCATGGATGAAACATTAATGTTTAGTGACACTAATGAACAAATTATTTCCGTATCATCCATCTATGGAACATTCCAAAATTAAGAAAAGATGTAACACAGAAAAACTTTGGTATATTTATTATTTTGATTATTATATACTATATATACACAATTAACAACTTTCTGGCACTTAGCCAACTCTCATTCTATTTTTAGAAATTTTTGATACTATTTTTGGTAAGTCATGTGACTTACCATCCTATTCATTTTCAATACTTCAGACCCAAAATTCTGTTAATTTTTTATCCTGATGAAGACCTCACGGTAGGTCGAAACCGGTAGATAATTAAATAATATAAACATCCCTGGTGTTGACGTGTAATTTTCTTCCTACTTTACCTTATCTTGATAAATTCAAAAAGTGTTTTCTATAGCTGAACATTTGACTACCAAATTAGAAAATGACATTTTCTTATTTGCAAAGGAGAATTAAAGTTAAATTTGTAAGAATAAAAATTCAATAGATTTGAAATCATTAACTGATTATATTATCAGTAAACCATACAATTGCTGGGATTATTTCAGGATCTTGTGTAAGAAGGAGACATTTGAACTGTTTGTCATATTTTATGTTACAGTTATGCTATTCAAGTTTATGTTACAGTTATGCTATTCAAGTTTATGTTACAGTTATGCTATTCGAGTGTGGGCTAGTCTTATAAATGTCATATTTTATGTTACAGTTATGCTATTCGAGTGTGGGCAAGTCTTATAAATGTCATATTTTATGTTACAGTTATGCTATTCGAGTGTGGGCTAGTCTTATAAATGTCATATTTTATGTTACAGTTATGCTATTCGAGTGTGGGCTAGTCTTATAAATGTCATATTTTGTGTTACAGTTATGCTATTCAAGTATGGGCTAGTCTTATGAATGTCATATTTTGTGTTACAGTTATGCTATTTGAGTGTGGGCGAGCCTTATGAATGTCATATTTTGTGTTACAGTTATGCTATTTTGAGTGTGGGCTAGTCTTATGAATGTCATATTTTGTGTTACAGTTATGCTATTTGAGTGTGGGCTAGTCTTATAAATGTCATATTTTATGTTACAGTTATGCTATTCGAGTGTGGGCAAGTTTTATGAATGTCATATTTTGTGTTACAGTTATGCTATTCGACTGTGGGCGAGTCTTATGAATGTCGTATTTTGTGTTAAAGTTACGCTATTCGAGTGTGGGCAAGCTTTATGAATGTCATATTTTGTGTTACAGTTATGCTATTCGAGTGTGGGCTAGTCTTATAAATGTCATATTTTGTGTTACAGTTATGCTATTTGAGTGTGGGCTAGTCTTATAAATGTCATATTTTATGTTACAGTTATGCTATTCGAGTGTGGGCAAGTTTTATGAATGTCATATTTTGTGTTACAGTTATGCTATTCGACTGTGGGCGAGTCTTATGAATGTCGTATTTTGTGTTAAAGTTATGCTATTCGAGTGTGGGCAAGCTTTATGAATGTCATATTTTGTGTTACAGTTATGCTATTCGAGTGTGGGCTAGTCTTATAAATGTCATATTTTTGTGTTACAGTTATGCTATTTGAGTGTGGGCGAGTCTTTATGAATGTCATATTTTATGTTACAGTTATGCTATTCGAGTGTGGGCAAGTCTTATAAATGTCATATTTTGTGTTACAGTTATGCTATTTGAGTGTGGGCGAGTCTTATGAATGTCATATTTTATGTTACATTTATGCTATTCGAGTGTGGGCTAGTCTTATGAATGTCATATTTTATGTTACATTTATGCTATTTGAGTGTGGGCAAGTCTTATGAATGTCATATTTTATGTTACAGTTATGCTATTTGAGTGTGGGCAAGTCTTATAAATGTCATATTTTGTGTTACAGTTATGCTATTAGAGTATGGGCAAGTCTTATGAAGATGCCCAATCTCCTGTTTGATGTGTCGATACCCTCGTTCATGGACGATAATCTGGAGATAATCAGCCAGGTGTTTATAGAAAGCTTCTCCCTCAGTACACAGAAGTTTACAAAGGTATCATATTTTTGTGTTATCATTAAATTCATATACACTGCCTACGTGTTACTCTGTGCCACGGTATATAAAGTTCTCTATTTGAAGGGACTATTGACAGCAGTTGATATGTTGTCGTAATTTTTCAAGTTCAGGACGAAATCAAACTTCCTATGTTTTGGTAGAGTTATACAACACAAGTTTGTTGAGTAACAAGACTATAACAAGACCACTTTGTTGAGTATCAACACAAGATACAAGAAGCTTTGTTTTTAGTCAGTTTACAAATTATAAGAAACATAAGCTAATAAGCTATTTACTGACAGCACCAGTTTGTTAAGTAACAACTCCAGTTTGTTGAGGAACAACACTAGTTTGTTGAGTTACAACACCAGTTTGTTAAGTAACAACACTAGTTTGTTGAGTTACAGCACTACTTTGTTGAGTTACAACACCAGTTTGTTAAGTAACAAGACCAGCTTGTGGAGTTACAATACAAGTTTATTAAGAAAACAGCACCACTTTGTTGAGTAACAGACAACATCAGTTTGTTGAATAATAATGCCATTTTGTTGAGTAACAAGACAATAGATTTTTCAGAGTCTTAATTATCCGACTAATGTTTATGCTTTTATGTTTTATAATTATGTCAGAAATCTAGAAGACGAAAAAATTAGGGAACCTCGTGTTTCAGCTTTTATGTGCTCAAAAGAATTGTTCAAACTAAATATATTTTTAAACTTAACTTTTTTTTCTCTTTTTTTCCTGCAACCATACACATTACATGATAATGAAAGTTTGTGAATATTTATGTCTCCAAACTAGACATAGAAGTGACATTGAATATGTGCTTACAAAATATTTGCTCAGCATAATTTGAAAAAACTGCTGATACATTTTTTTTCTGCATGTTTTCACAGGAGCCATACCTGTTTGATGAACATTACTTCATAACTTTAAAATGTTTATAACATATTGTCTCATCAATCTGAAAATGTGCTGATCCAAGTTATAACAAACTGCTAAAATATTTATTTCATCTTCCTCAGGAACTGTGCCCACTTTGTTTGTATTGAAGTCATTATATTTAAAGAGAAAAGTTTGAAATCACGATGCTTTTGAAATTATTAATGTTTATGACATATTGTTTAATATGCTTTTGAGAAATGTAAAAACTGTTGAAAAAATATGGCAGTTATAGCAGAAGCCATTCCCTGGAGCGTGATTGAAATATTACGAAACATATTTTTGTTTGTTTGTTCAGAAACAAAATGCCAAGATGTTGTTGCATGGTTGCTTATGCAATATGAATCTATGAGTAGTAAAAGATATATCAAGAAATAAATGTTTTAATATTCCTCAATTGTGCTCAATCCTTACAATGTTAAATATCTGAAATAGACTGGTTAACCCTTACAATGTTAGATATTAGAAAAAGACTTGTTAACCCTTACAACATTAAATGTTAGATATCTCAGAAAGACTGGTTAACCCTTACATTACAATGTTAAATGTTAGATATCTCAGATAGACTGGTTAACCCTTACATTACAATGTTAAATGTTAGATATCTCAGATAGACTGGTTAACCCTTACATTACAATGTTAAATGTTAGATATCTCAGATAGACTGGTAAACCCATACAATGTTAAATCTCTCAAATAGACTGGTTAACCTCTACAATATTAAATGTTAAATGACTAAGAATGACTAGTTAACCCGTACATTACAATGTTAAATGTTAGATATATCAAATAAACTGGTTAACCCATACAATGTTAAATATCTCAAATAGACTGGTTAACCCTTACAATGTTAGATATTAGATATCAGATAGACTAGTTAACCCTTACAATGTGAAATGTATGATATTTCAAATAAACTGGTTAACCCTTACAATGTCGAATGCAAGATATCTCAAATAGACTGGTTAACCCTTACAATGTCGAATGCAAGATATCTCAAATAGACTGGTTAACCCTTACAATTTTAAATGCCAGATATCTGAAATAGACTAGTCAACCCTTACAATGTGAAATGTATGATATTTCAAATAAACTGGTTAACCCTTACACTGTCGAATGCAAGATATAGCCAACAGCAGGCTTACAGTTAACAGTGCTAATATAAAAACCAAGAAAACATTTTTTCAGTTGTATGGTATTATATTATACATTGTAATTGTAAAAATTAGATTTTTGAAAAAAACTGACTTATTTTATTTAAGGATACCCCTCCTCAGAAGTTAATTTTCCATCACGAAAGGAATCACTATAAGGATAGGGTGAAGGAGTTCTACAAGAATGTTAAAGTTGACCAGCAAGATGCAGAGGGATTCAGGCAATACATGGCAGATGTCAACAGAGTAAGTTATTGATTATATCTGTGCTGACTTTGTGGCTAAGTGGTTAAGGTCTCTGGCTTACCATTTGTTGCACCTGTATGATGTGCTTTTAAATCCTGGCATGAACTTTGGTTTATTTTATTTGATGATTAGGTACTCAGATGCCTGCATATTGGGTTGTTGAGATTGTCTAAAATATGAAATAGAAACATAGGCTTTTTAGTCTTATTGCAGTCAGAATTAACCTTTTAAAAATGGCATATACCTGCATTTATGTGAATGGTTCTGATCAGTTTAACCCTGTAATAAGTGGCAATTAGACCTGTCTCATTGTGGCCAAGTGCTAATTGACCTGTTTATGTATTAGTGGCATAGGCCTACCTTATTGTTGCCACATGGTAGTAGATCTGACTGTGAAAGAATAGCAAAGGCTTGCCTTAATGTGGCCATTTGGTGGTTGATATACCAATGTATAAGTGCCATAACCTGCCTTATTATGGCCATGTGGTGAGTGAGCTATCTATGTATAAGTGGCTTTGGCCTGTCAAGCTAGCTTACAGAAAATCGGTGGTTCTTCTCAGGTGCCCTTTGGTGCCTGAATTAATGCAAGGAAGGGCACCTGAGGTCTTCCTCCACCAGTAAAGCTGAAAAGTTGCCATGTCACAGGCATGTGAACTATATTATGTTGGTTCAACATAAACCCAACCGGAAAAAAAAATATATATATAAGCGGCATAAGTTGGCCTTATTGTAGCCAGCATTCATCAGAGTCGTGTCATTGATTTTCATCTTATATCTCTTGAGTATTACAAGTATTTATATGCTGTTTGTTTATTTATTTTTACAGCTGCAGCAAGCAACAGAGTTTAACAAAGTGTCAGCACTATACAGATTTTATAAACAACTTAAACCATATTTTGAAGACGTAAGTATTATATGTTGTTTTCTAAAACAAATGACTGATAACCTAAAAAATACAAGTAAATTTGGATTAGGTATTGGGGCTAGAATATTAGCTCCTTAACAGACAAATTTTATGAAAGAGTCTTTTTCTGGAATTAAAATATTCATTTTGATTAATTTTTTGACAAAAACTGAGTAAAAGAGTGATATGAAATTGTAAAGACATTTAATGGTCTAGACCTACATCAAATGGAACATTTTTTTTCGAAAATATATTTTCAGTCCCATCATTTCAAAAAGCCTTAGTGGAGTCACTTTAATTTAACATACACAATGTAGATTTTATGAGCACCTTTCTACTTATAATGAAGTTTTTTTTTATATAATCAAAATTATAATGCAGGCCTATCTCAACATTCAGAGAATCAGATTTGAAATCCAAGTGTCACTTGCTTTATCCTTGGGCAAGGCAAATTTCTCCATGACAATTTATCTCAGACATTTTGTCTAACTCTTAATTGTCTCTCATCGATTCAGAAATCCTATAGGATAATAAGTGGGTCACTTGCAGAGAAATTGATAATTATCGGTCAGTTTTACGGAAAAGCGGGTAAGGTGGATAAAGTCTGCCAAGATTTGACCGAAATATGTTTAGATTAGCTTAAAAGCCGAACAAATATATATCATATCCACCGCGGGGCAGGAATGTAATAAACTTTAAAGCCATTTAGTAATGTACTATAAACGATATTTCATGAGTGTAATAACACTTTGATGTGACATCATTTGCATAATACGTACAAACATAGCTTAAAAGCGTGCTTATGTTAGCTTTACACTATAGATGCTTCAATGAAAAATTACATTTTTAAACTGTAAGCCATTCTTATTTCGGATATGTGATAAATAGAATATAACATTAGTGTCGATTCAATACGAAATTTGTTGAACTTGTTGAATAAAATTATATTATGCTCACCAGAGGCTGGTTTCAATAAATTTAGTATTTAATCTACACTTATTCAATATCCTATATATAATATAAAGAAAATTGAAATGCTTATTGTGTTATCTATATATTGTAGATTATTGACAATCTTGCAACAAATAAAGAAGCCAGTAACCTGCAGCTTGACCGGAAACTGGAGCAAGTGATCGCTATTATGGAGGAGGATGACTAGAAATCTCGTGCACAAGACTGTTTGAAAAACTGAACAAAGTTACGTGTGCATAAACATTTTTTTGCAAAATGAACACTAAATACTATGTGTGAGCATGAAAATTTCGTGCACAGGGATATTTGTAAAAAATAATCAAACTTATGTGTGCATAAATATCTTATGCAAAAACGAACGAGAAAAATGTGCATCAAAATATTGTGCATTAGGATATTTGTGAAAATGATCAAAGTATATGTGCATAAATATCTTATGCAAGATCTTGTATATAAAGATGAATAAAATATACATTGTATGTGCATCAGAATTATCATGCAGAACTTGTGTATGAAAAGAAACAAAGTGTGCACCTGAAAATCTTATGCAGAAATAAGTGTGAAAATGACCAAAAAAAATATAATATATTATATACATGAAAATCTTACACAAAAACTTGTGTGTGAAAATGAATAAAATGATATAAGAATGAAAATGTCATGCTAACGATGTGTGTGAAAATGAACAAATCACGTTGTCATGCCCAAAACTTGTGTATGAAAATGAATAAAGTGATATATGCATGAAAATATCATACTTGTATAAATATATGTGAAAAATTGAACCAAACAAAAGGATGAAAAAATCCTTTTGCTGATATATAAATTCTGAGTCAAGGTGAACAAAACTTGTGCAGGAAATTCTATTGCACAAATACAACAAAAGGTGTGTGCATGAAAATTTCATGTGTAAAATGAAAATTGTAAATTTTAATGGGAAAGATTCATAAACTTGATCTTGAAAATTGCATTCAAGATTCTTTTTGTAAAAAACATTATATACATAGACTTCATGTTTTAAACTGTGAAAATAATATGCCTTACCAGTAGTCTATACAGCTTGTGGTATAAACATTCACTTTCATGCTAGTGTGAAAAGGTGTGATCCAAGAAAAATTTACTTGTTTGTTTTTTTTTCTGATTAAGAAATTAATATAAACTTTGTGAAAGTTTGTATTAAGAATTTCTCTGCTGCTTTGCCTTGGTCTCAGAACTCTGAATTTATAATCTAAACAGGTTTTAATTTATATAGTTCTACAGTAAAGTAAACCCATCAGTATAGGACCAGGACAGACTGCTTGGATATGTAGGCAGGTCTGTCTTTATATAACTATCATAGAAAACAAAAATGTTAAGTAACATAAAACAAAAATGTTAAGTAACATAAAGCAAAAATGTTAACTAACATAGAAAACAAAAATGTTAACTAACATAAAAAACAAAAATGTTAAGTAACATAGAAAACAAAAATGTTAACACCTTACTATACTGGAGAACTATGTAAATGGAAGTAAAATTATTTTTTAGGATGATCTTTGTTAAAAGTACAGTTCTTAAATTCATAACTTTAAATTTGTTATAATTTTGGTAACATTCATATATGGCCGCTATACACTGTGTAACAAAACAGAATATTTTACTAATAAAGGGCCCTTAATTTCCCAAGTTGAAAAAGGCCCCTTGCCATTTCAAAATGGCTGTTTCATAGCAAAAATAAATGCCAAGAAATGCCTCTTTTACAATAAAAAATTTGTTTGATTACTGCCAGTGAACAGTATTACAAAAAAAATTGTTTAGATCTATATTTGGCAGTGGTCAAGGCCCCTTTGTATTTGGGGTTGGGGTGTGGTAGAGGGGCATTGTGCCAGGTATAGATCAAAATACGGCAATTTCTTTATTTCAAAACAATAATATGACAAATGATATTATACTTGTTTTATAACGCTGTTTATGTAATTGGCTGTTTATGTAATTACGTGCCTTTTGTTTATAAACTTTGCCTTCTGAAAGATTTTTTTTCTATCCATGTTTATATAACCACTGTGATATAGAGGATTTATGTAAATAAATAAATGTACATAATAAACTATAAACAAGTGCTCATTTTGTATGACATATATATTATAGTGGACATTGCAGAAGAATTATGAATTTATATATATTTTTGTATTTGTATATAATTTGTATTGCATATTTTGTACTATTTTTGAAGAAATTTGTTACTATGTAGAACAGTGCATAAAATGTCCTAACATTTGATGAGGTTTGGAAATGTTATAACATAGATGTGTTTATATATATGTAAATATATATGTGCAAGAGTTTTTGGGTAAAAAAGATGTATGTATATATATTTTGTATTTAACAATGCATGTATTGTGTTATAACCATATTAATATGCATTTAGAGTTAAGAATACTTTTGCTAAAACTCAAGTTGGATGATTTTTCAAAAACTATCCAAAAATCTAGAAAGTTTCTTTATTTTTTACTAAAAATGTAAAATACGTAGCATTTATTAGATGGGTTTTTTTATGCCTCCACTTAAAAAGTGGGAGCATACTGTAATGGGGTCTTTCCATATATTCATACTTATAAATATGTACTTAGGTAGCTATGAGAACAATAGGTAAAAGTAATTTTTCTTTGATGCTATTCATTCAGTAAAGGATTTATGTGGCTTATAGAACCATTGGGGTAGCTACACAAGTGCCATTTTGGTGGAATGTTTTTCTGTATGTCACTTCTTGTCCGACATGTGACTTTAGCCTACAGTTCTAAAATTCTGTGTATGAGTGACCAATGCTTTGCACAAAATTTTGTTTTCTTTAAAGCCAGATTTTTTTAAGGGTATTTGTCTTGTTTGAAGGTTTTTTCTGTATTAAAGCTGCGGGAACAAGAGTATCGTACTTCTAGAATCAAGAATATAACTGGCTGTATTTGACAATATCCCCTAAACTCTGAAGTAAATCATAATTTATACATGAACATGTTGCCAATATAAACTATGGACTACCTGTTATAAATACTGAATATTAAACACAGTTGCAAAGGTGTTTATGCACAACTGAATAGTTACAGGGGGGGGGGGGGACTGAATGTGAAAGATCTCTTAAAACTTCCATCTTTTTTTAAATTTGATCTCTGAAGTTATGGAAAAAAAATACTGTTATTTATGGCAAGATATTTTATTGAAGAGAATGATGCTGATCTGGGAAATGTTTCAGTAACAAATCATCTTTATCGTTACTTAAGTTTGAACATAACTTTTTGCGAAAGCAGAACTTATGTATTTATTTGCATTTCACTAAACTTTCTTTACTATGCATTTGCGTATGTCCAAATTGAAAAAAAAGATACGCAAACCTAATCTCAACAAATTATTTCCAGCCCTATCATTGTCAAAAAAACAAACTCAGTGGAGTCCCTTTAAAGAAAAGGGATAGGTCTACACTACTTTGAATACTTTTTAAATGAAACAGCCTCAATATAGAAGTAATGATTGGTTTGATATTGTAAGGTATTTTTTTTTTATAACTTTAGATTCCCTCTTTTGGATAATGACCAATGTGATTATGTGCCAGTTTCCTGGTCTAACAACAAGAATAGAGAATGCTGTAGTGTAAACCTGTTGAAATTAGTCATATATATTTTCAGCATTTTTAAAGGCACATTATGCCTCAGAAATTATTAAAATTTCTTTTAAGAAAAGGCAAACATGAGCTTTATAATATATTTATGGTTTTAGATATGTAAGATGCTATTAATAACATGAAAAAAGTAGCGCTAATTGTGAAATTATTTGCAATAAAAGTAGCAAAGTAGTATTTTGACTTCCTTACAAAATCACTGTAACTGTGCAAGTTGCCTAAAAAAATCAACAAGAGAAGCAAAAGATTGTCTAGGAAACTGGGCAATGAGAAAGTTTTTTGAAATTATGATAGGGTACCAAAAATAAAAAAAAATTGAGTAATAAAAAGTATATTAGGGGGCATAATGGGCCTTTAAGGCAGAGTTCCGAGTGTTAATTGTTCTTTTGTTTTAGGGGGGGGGTTTTGTAAGGAGAATAAATGATCTTTGAGTTACAGGAATTAAATCACAAAATATGTTTATTTGATTTGTTTGATAAAAACTGTATTTATTATAATCGGATGTTTCATTTTGAAAACATTATATATTTTGAACCTGATTTTTTTTTTTTAAAACAACACAAGAAAACAACATATTCTACATGTATATAAGGTGTGTCATGTATTAATTGAAGAGTTATTATAGTTTTCATGTTTTTTGTCAGTTTTTGATGTTACATTCCATCCTTCTTTTGTGTTTACTTCAACTTTCAATAGCTTACGTAACTGATTGACGTAGGCTGTAGGTAACTTTATATAATGTTTGTCGCAAGTTTTGCTAGGAGCTACCAAATTTTTTGGGGTTTTCTTTTTTTCCGATCAATTGAAGTAGGTAATAATGAAAAGTTTGTGGAACCTAATCCTAACTGTTGCTTACGTAAACCATCAAGTGATAATATGCCATTTGAAATTATATAACTGTTGATAAACAAATATTTCTAGAGACAACGCATTTTCTTATGTAAACTGTTTTCCTTGACATTTAGATAATACCTGATGGTAAACAAGATTTGAATGTTATTTACTTTGCTGAATTTTTGTGAACATGACATGCTCAGTTGTGAATTTTGAACTTTCATAGTTCATAGTTAAAGGTATTCCAGTATCAAAAATGTTTTAAATGATGGATCCAGCATAATAAAACCTGACCCCATGTTCACAAAGAAACAATTAGAATTAAATGTCAGATCCTTATTTCATTTTCATTGCTTTATGAAACTTATATTGATGGTCTTATCTGGGCTAAAATACCATATTGTCTCCATTTAACGCTCTTGGGAATGCATTTTTTTAAAATGGGGCGCTAATTAGAACTATAAAAATGTGCTTTAGAGGATGCAATTCAATCATAAAAATCATTATTTATTATAATGATCTAATATATAAATTTTTTTAATGATTATACATAACTGGAGTGTCATCAATTGTAAGTTTTTAAATAAAAATAATAATTATTGTTTTTATTGCTCTTTTATTACGTATTATTAATCTTTAAGGTAAGATTTGTTTTGTACAAAATGTGGTGTGGGATGTTAATTGGAAACAATATGGTAATATGGTGATTATACAAAATGTAATAAGTGACTTGCAAAGAAATAAACTTATTTCAGCATAAAATCAAGGAATAACTATACAAATTAGGCTTATATCTGGATCAGAATAAGATCAAAATCAGAATTGAGATGACCTCTTAAATGCCCAAATCTTATCAAGTAAACAAGATTTTTTTCCCTTAACACCTTGCTATTCCAATTCCACTTTTAATTCAATATTGATTATTAATTCTATTAGAATAAACAATGATGAATTATTTTTAATATTTTTTATCTTGATCCTTAAATTTTTAAGAACTCAGGGGCTAGGTCTCATTCAAAATATGTTTTGACAGAAAAGTGAGCAGTGCAGACCTTGAGAAGACGGCACAGATGTGCCACCAGCAGGCTTAGTGTTAAAATGTCCAATTTTATTAAAATATAAAAAAGTTTTTCTGACAATTACCAAGAATCCTCCATTAGAAAATTTAATGCAATTGAATCCTTGGCAATTAAGTTAATCGGAATAAT